TGTAAAAAAAAAAAGTAAAAAAAAAAAAGAAAAGAAAAAAGACTACTACACTATGCTGGCACATCAGAAATTAACGCAACATTGCAAACTAACTATGCTTCAATAATAAAAAAAATACAACAATATTCTTTATATCATATATGGAGGTTTGTTAAAAGACTAATGTTTAAAGTTCTAGAATCATATTGCAAGCTAGAAAAACATAATTTTAGGTTTCTTACAATGTAACAAGAGCAAAACCCTACCTGGTTCTTATAGATTCAAGTCACATACCTTAAGTTTTACAAGGTGACAGCATACTACAAGATGTCCATGAAAGTCCCAGCAAGAAAGCAAAGTAAGAAACTGCTTAGGAAAACCCACTTACAGATGTCATCAGTGGCATCCTCTGAACTTTTCCCTCCGCAGCACATGATGAAGGGCACTCTTCGCTCAACCACCGCCCGACACTGCACACATTTCTTCATCAGGCTAGCACAGTCTGGGGACAGCAATGGGACACTTCTCACCAAAGGGAATGAGAATAGGGTTGCCTTTCTCTGCTCTTGCAATTTAAATTTAACACTGAGACAAGTATTAAGTAAGTTATATCAATACGCAATTCTACTTTCTTAAAACGTTATCAACCTAAGAACGTACACTTTCCATTGGCAGCCTCTAGAATAGAGTCCATCATTATGAAAATAACATTTTCTAATACAATGAAATAAACTGTGGAGAGGGTTTCTAAGTGTTTTTAAAAGATGTAATATAAATATCTCAAGATTTTAATGCTTGAGAATAAAGAACGGAGATACCTTTCATAAATTTAACTACTACAAGAATTACAAGGTTACTCACATGGAACTTTTTAAAAAATACTTTCTTTTGTAAACAGCTTATCTCTCAAATTTCTAAAATATGTTGAACAATTCTCTTCCTTCTATTAAACTGATGTAATCTAACAAAGAAAATGCTTAGTGACTGTTTTTTAATGTAGCAGTAAGGAAAGTATCAAATATTTATCATAACGGACTATCTTTCTCATACCTATATGTCAGAAGAATGTTTCCCCATTCCAAGAAATACCCAGGCACAATGATATGTTATGGATTATTAATACAACTAAAGTTATCGATTAGTTATGAAATAACACATAGTGCTTCAACACATTCTTTCCCATTAGCATGTACTATGAAAGTATACTACACATCTTAGCATATGTACCAAGTGTCCTTGTCACTTGAAAAACAGGCAAAATAACAAAAACTGCGGCAGGATACCTAATGAGAAGATAATAACCTTAACAAAGCACAAACCCACCGAGTCATATGCTGCCAACAGTGCTTACACTGGTGGGCAGAGAATCGTTTTCAAGGCTGATCTTGTCTGAGGCCTAAACAGAGATGGCTCTGATGTCAGCCCAGGCAAGATGCCCCAGGCAGGAGCTAATAATGCTGGTAGATATCTATCTGGTTTGGGACTTCTCTTCAACCTGAGGGCAGATTTTTTTCCTTGAATTTAAAGGATGAACTTAATTGTCTTAGTATATAATATGTAACCACAACTATATCAAATTCTTTAACTATCAAGTTAGGTTGTTACATTGTTTATATACAATCTTTCTTCAGTCCCTCCAAAGGGGATATAATTTCTCCTTCCTTTGCTCTGTTAAGCCACCTTATGTTCTTCAAGGCTGCAGTACTCTGCAGAACATTACTGTGACATGGGACCAGAATAACAACTGTGCTGTCAAGTTTCCCCTTGGGAAAAGGGATGTTCTCCATCTCAGCTTCATCTTCCCTAGCAAATAAATGTTTACCAATGTGTCTATAAAATGGAGAAAACAATCTACTTCTTAGGTTTCTTGTGAAGATAAATGAGGAAATACTCAAAAAGAGATTAAAGTGCCTGGTATGAATTAAGAGCTCAGTAACAGTTAGCTGTTGCTCTCATTACATTTTAAAGCAAAAATAATGTAAAAACTTTGGGAAACTCCTGGGGGAAATGTTACATTAAGGTTCTAGAATCTGTGTTATCAACTACTAACTTTAACCAGCTTCCAAGTCTTTGAAGGTGTCACTTTTGGTCTCTGATGGGATCAGCAAACCACAGCCTGCAACCAGTCATCTATTTTTGTAAATAAAGTTTTAATGGAAACAGTCTCCCAAATTTGTTTACACCTTGTCTATGGTTGTTCTTGTACTACAATGGCAAGGTGAGTCGCTGGAAAGGGTTGAGTAGTTACTACAGAAATCATGTGGCCCACAAAGCCAAAAATATTTATTATTTGACCCTTTACAGAAAATGTTTGCTAACCCCTGGGCTATGAAAATTTACATAACCTGAGCTCTTTTTACTTAAGACAGAATTCTCTTTTTTCCTGCCCTCTGACAGCTGATAACAGCCATTATACCAGTCTTTGGTAAACAGAAACAATTACTTATGCAGAATGTTACAGGAGAAAACCTTGATCCTTCCTTAGCTGGTGAGCTGCCTATCAGAATGAAAAAAAGCATCAACACTTACAAGCAAATCTGTGCTAATGAGATTAACCTATCATACGATAGTTACTTTAATCAAATACTGTAATAAAAATCAACACCTAATTGACTGAACCATTTCATAACAGGAAATACCATGCTTTACCGTGCACCCATTTAAGTAAAGTTGTTAAACTTGTTTAAAATTCTTCATTGCCAAGTAAAAAGCAAAGGGAAGAGGAGAATATTAATTAACTTGAAAAGAATAAGGGGGATCATATAAAAGCAAAGTTTAAAACTTCTCTTAAACTTTAATATTATCCTCACAAAGAAAAGATTTCTAGAAGCTCTCTTGACACAGAGGTGAAGAAAGCCAGAAATGACTGCCCTAAACGGCTGCTGCGGCGGTTCCGCAGTGAGGAGAGCACGCGGGAGACGTAACGTAAAGGGGAGGACAAATGAGGACGCGCTAATTTTATACGGAAAGAAAGGCTGGACTAAGTGTTTCAACATTCATTGTTGGAAATAAATTTCTCCGGTGTGTGAGAAGAGCTCACTCTGTGCTGATACAGTGCAGTGAGAAGAGGAGCTGGCAGAAGGCAGTGCCTTCAGTCTCCCTCCCACTCAGGGGGAGGCAGGGAGGGAACAAATGGAGGGTTCTAGAGGCCCACCAACCCCTCTGCTCACCAGTTATTTTTAAAAAATCGAAGATATAATTTGTCTCACTTTCTATTTTTATAATAACTGAGGAGGTTTTGCACAAGCTACTTACTCTCACAAGCACACATGTGTCCGCATGGCTGAAAAAGAACAGCTGCTTTCTTGTCGGAGCATACCACACATTCTTCAATCTGCCAGAAAGAGGTTACAGTGCAAGCGTGAGCATCTACAAATAAATCTAGTGACTCTAACAGCTCCTTTTGTATCCAAATGTATTTCTCCTCTATAAGGAAACACTCCCAGCACAGAGGAATTTAACACACACTTCTCCTCTGTCCTCTGCTCTCTAAGCTACTCGTTTTCACATCTTTAAATACCCCAGCTAAACAGGTTCTATTTCCACTTTAGTCTCCCTACCTAGTCAGGGACACCAGACTAGACTAGATCAACTTAGCCTCCGAAATGCAAACTCTAATGGGGCTGGGGCGGGCAGGGGAACAGAAAGAGGAAAACCCTGGGAATGGGTGGCTGAGGGACCCACAGCCTGGAGGGAGGAACACTACTTTTTCACAGCTCCCAACAAAGTTTTTCCTCTCTCATAAAGGAAGGGCTGGGGATCATGGCTCAATTTTAAAGGTATGTGAGTCAGCTACCTGGCTGGTTAGTAAGCTACACAGAAAAGCGGGCGCAACCTGGATGAAAAAAGAAATGAAAGTCCCAAATGTCAGCAACTAGAGTGATGGACAGAAGTGCCCAGTGTAATGATGGCAGGGAGGGGAAACTCTGACTGATCTAGCCATTTGTAAGTAAAGAGCATTTTCACATACATGTTTACTGGATGTGCTAAATACTGGTCAAATATGAAAATGTGACAATGAAAAAAAGAGTAAATTAGATATTATGTGTAAAGTGTTTAGTTCAATGCCTAATATAAAATCAGTGCCTAGAAACAGAATACATGTAACTGAATCATTATGCTGTATACCAGAAATTAACACAACTGTAAATCAACTATACTTGAACAACCAAAAAAATTTACTGTCTAATACATGATAATTCTCTTCTCCTCTCTATATAAAAGATGTGTTCGTTTTTAAAATGATTCTCAATGCAACTGTCTATGTATCTGAAACGTTTATTAAGAGTTTAAAATAATCTAGCAAACTGATCTCATCATTTACTTACCCATTCCCCTATTTAAAAAAAAAATCTTTGTAAGCATAACTTTTTCCCCTTCTGGATTTTTTTCCCTTAGGAATGGAATTAGTATATCAAAGCATGTTTATTGTAAAGGTTTGTATATATTGTCAGGATGGTCTCTCAAAAAAACTTGAATCCATTCAGTCAACGGCAGTACCAAGGGAGTGCCCTTTCCCACTTTCCTGGCTAGCATTTTGTAAGGTTTACTTTTGCTAATTTGACAAGAGTGGTTAATAACAGTTCATAATTTGTATTTCTTTAACTGCTAAAGAGACCAAGCTTGTTTATTCTCCCTCCCTCCAAATACTAGTTTCATCATTTGTTTTATCTTCAGTGAAGATGTTCACGATCCTTTAACCACTTGGGGTCACTATTTCTTTATATTCAAGGGCTCTGCAACGGACCTGGCAAGTCTGTTTGGTGAGTATGTAAGTTTTTGTACTTTTGTACAGGTTTGAAAATTGCATAACTTAAAACACAAACAGAAAACTTACTAATTCTTGGAATTCAGAACCAGTCTAAAAAGGAATGACAACATATTCCTACCCCTCTACCTTCCTGTTCTATCAACTTGCCCTTGCAGACATGGTTTTTAAGTTTCTCTGCGTATCATAACACAGAGGAAAGAACAAGGACTTGAGAATCAAAAGAAATGCACTGAAGACCTAACAATCAGTGCACTTCTTTGAGCTTCGGTTTTTCCAATTGTAAAAACCAGAGCTGACTAGATGACCAACAAGGCCTGTAAGATGAGACTCCGCTTTTCACAAACTAGGGCTCTGAACTCACTTCACATCTCTCTTAAAGCACTCACAACATCTTATATGGAAGTGTAGCTTTTTATCTAAGTCATAGTTTTCCAAGAGATTACAAATTTTTAGCAGGCAATTATCATATACATCTCTGTCTTGGCTACAAAACAAGTGTTCGATAAGTTTCTGAAACAGGGCTTCATCTAACAGAAAGTTTCAAGCCCAACAGCAGAATCTAGAAACAAGAGAAGGGCTTACATTTTTATTCTTTCAGATTCTTTCCCAAACTGTTACTCTGTGACAGGTAACTGAAGCAAATTATAAATACCAAGTAGAGTGATCCACATGAATTTATTAAAGCAGGGGTGACACAGATATAACACCAACAGAGCCTGGTGTACAGTAAGTGCTGCCAGTACATCCTTCTCATCTCTACAGACAGATTACACAACTGCACACGTACTATTACTCCAGCACCTCCCGTCCAAAAGTAACTTCCTTGAACTTTTTCACGTGCCAGAAATTTTACCAATGATATACTCATTTGGATCATAAAGAATACAGTCTTAGAAGGAACACTAGAAAAATGTAAGAAGTACTGTCAAGATTTCATCTTTTAAGTCACTACTGGCTAATTCATCATAGGAATTGGTGCCAGCTCCTTTTTAATTAGTGAAGATTAATGAATAGCTTAGGAAATATCAAGAGAAAAATGAAAAGAATGAAACCAAGGGAATGAAAAAAGAATATAAACTTCATAAATGAAACCAAAGAAAACCAACATATTTAAGTTATTCACCTTGAGAGAAATCATTTGTGAGAAACTTAAATATCATTTACATATACATTTGTTAGGAAAAACTAAAAAAGAAAATTATTATTTCAGTAAACCAAAATGAGTAAGATGATGCAGTAATAAGAAAACACTAAGTTACATGGAAAAAAACTGAAACTGGAAACTCAGAAGGGTACTGCTTCTCAAAAGCCAAAAGGAGTCAGATGAGATAAAAAGTCCAGAGTACATATAGAATTTGGCCACCAAGAACTGCAGGATGATCACACTTTATTTGCCTAATTGTGAGGTACAATACAAAATGAGAAAACTTTATCTATGATCTTTTTTGTGAAAAATGTCTAAGTTGACTCTAATTAAGCCCGTGAGATCTAACTTCCAGTTTACAGAAACACAGGTTATAGAAGCAAATTAAAGAACATCATGATAAAACAATCAAATAAATCCAGAATGTGTGACGTTTTACCGAAAAAAATCAACTGGTCTTTTACAAAGATGAATACAATACAAAATAGTCCATGCACTCAATAAAGATGCACTATACAAGTAACCACAACACAAAGTGGAATTAAATGTACCTTTTGGTTATAAGGGACTTAGAAAGCAAAACGGTGGGTTACTTTTAACTAGTACGATATTTTACATATCTCAACTGCTGCCTTGATAAATGTATAAATTATATATTCTATATTTAGATCATTCTTAGGAAGAACAAAATTAAAGACACATGCTATCATGTAATCTTACTTATCATTAATTGCAGTTTCAAAGAACTTCACAAAATGATGAAATACTACATTAAAAACATATTACCTTTGTCCTGGACTGAACTTGTTCTTTACAGATGAGGCATTTCTTGACTCGTGGAGAACATAAAGAACAGGTAGCAATATGTCCACATGGGCCAAAAAGAGTATCTCTCTTCATATCTGAGCACACCATACACTCTTCTAAGGTTTCAGAATCATTACTGATCATAGAAGGACTTCGAGAACCCACCTGACCACTAATAAAAAAAAGTATTTCTAATCAAGCCTATCAGAATATTTGTATTACAAATTCATTAATTAAAATACTTTAAAACATCTAGAGCATCATTAGTACACATAAAACAGCTTTAGTTATGTTAAAAAATTAAGCTTTAACATCTATATATGAAACACTGTATGCTACATTTTTCTATTTATACACCTCTCTGCATTTTTACATACTTCTAGTACTACTCAAACTTCAAATGAACAAATCCTCACCCAATGGAGAAGGGTAAATCTTCTTCTAACAAAGAAATCAAAAACACCAGTTTAAAAAAATTTAACATAAACACACTTTCACTCAGAACCTATTTTATCTATATAGAACCAGCTGAGGAAGACACAGGACATAGGAATAAAACAAAATCCTAGCTAGAGCCCACATTAGTTATCCTAACTGCAGACAGAATGAACCATTGGCAGAGCCCACAGCTGATAGGGCACTTTGGAAAATACGTCACTGCAGCTGCTGTTCTGACATTTCTTTAAGCGTATCCTTAAAGAGTATAAAATTCTATTACAGAAAGACAGAACACATCTATAAATACATACATATATATATAAAAGATACAGAAATACATACACACAACCAACTACAGCTATAAAAAAGGGACACTGTTTCCACCCCAATCTTCAGAAATTCATGCACATGCCCGCTCCCATGTACATACGCAGAGTGGTTTCCCCTTATACCCGAGCTACTAACTGCAGTAATTACAGTGCCTGTAGCTATACATTTTACATGCATTCTGTCCTCCAATATAATTTAATGTTCCTTCGGGATACACTTGAAAGAATGTATATACCTCATTGTATCAATTTCCCTATGACACAGCTCTGTAAATGGATTCCAAAGAGATGTCATTTCCTCACTACATATAAATTATAAGAGATGAAAGAAAGAAAGCACAAAGGTCAGGGGACAAGTACTGAAATGTTCAATGACAAGAACCAGGGATAAAGGGCAATAATAGTTGCACAGCACCATTTGGATAAAAAAGTAATGAGATGTACTTTTGTATGTCTATAATACCTAATAAGAAATTTAGTTATACTGTAAACAATAAATAAAATCATTGGCATATTTTACTTTTAGAAAAGAAGACAACTGTGGAATGATCATTTTTAGAGAAAACTCTACCAGGAACTGGTTCATTCATTTGCTTATTCTTTCAATCCTTCATTGGCAATTACTGAGTGCCTATCAGGCACTGTGCAGGGTCCTAGAATTACTAGAGTTTGTGTGAGATAGACCCTTTTGGTGAGCATGTAACCTGCCTCTATTTGGAAGTTCACTAAAATTTTAAATACATATTACATTAACCCCAGCAATTTCACTAGTGAGACTTTCTTACAGATAAATTCCTATAACACACAGGAGTACTGGAAGATCAGACTAGTTTAGAAAAGTTTGTTCGACCTTATTATGCATAAAGCTTCATATTTAACAATGAAGAAAATACAACGTGAAATAAGAGACGTGCTATCTGTAGGAAAATTTTCAGAGAAGAAAGTGTCAAAGCAAAGACAGAGGAAGGGCAAAGACAAAGACTCTTTCAAGTAATCAAGTCTTCCATTGCAAAACCACACAATACTTTATGTACAGAATATTAGGTTTTATGATAATAAATAATACAAACCTGACTTTTTCTTTATGACACTTTGCCAGTGCTTTGCAGAGACTTGGATCAGGACAGAGATCAAGTGGAGACTGACCTTTCTTATTTCGAATGCTAAGGTCTGCACCATTGGCAGCCAAGAAACAGGCAATTGATGCTGCACTCTTCTTCTCAGCCCCCTGGGTACCAAGTCCCATTATTAACTGAAATCAAATGAAAAGAGTCATTATTTTCCCTTTAGGAACCTATTACCCACTCTTATCATTAAATATATATATATGTTAAGTATGTGTATATGATTGTGTGTGTGTGTGTGTGTGTGTATATATATATATATATATATATATATATATATATATATATATGAATGTTTGTGTGTGTGAAAAACATGTCTGGAAAGAACTTACACACTACGTAGATGTGGTGGGCACTGATGAGTTGCAGTCCAAATATCCCTTTCACCATCTCACCTACTCGCCGTTTCCTCAGGCATATAGTCTGAGAACTGACTCACTCTCCAGTTTTAGAGGTGGACCAAAGATGGTTCAACCACTCAGATATCCACCTCATCTAATATAATTAGTTCAGGGATGACACAGAACCCAAATCAGGTCAATTAAGGCCAATAAAACTCAAGAACATGACTTCTTATTGAGATACTGAGGAAACAGTACTTCCATTTCTACTCAACTCTTGGCTCCTGGAGCTGCTAGGAGCCAACTTGAACAATAAGGGGAAAGACACTGTGAAAAGAACCAAGAACTAAGAATTGAGCCAAGAAATGGAGAATGAGACAAGTCAGGTTCTGGTATTACCTGAGTTACTGACTCAAACATCTTTTCTGGGAATAGTCATAATAATTGTTAACATTCATGGAGCATCTACAATGGACCAAGAACTATTTTAAGTACTTTCCATGAATTAACTCATTTAATCTTTACAACCTTATGGAAGTAGTTACTCTCTTCCTCTCATTTTAAAATGAGAAAAACGAGACACAGGCAGCAATTCTCAAACACTTTGGTCTCAGAATCCCTTTACATTCTTAAAATGATTCTAAAATTCATACAGAAAGGTGAGGGACTTAGAATAGTTAAACATCTTTGAAAAAGAGGAAGAAAGATGGGGGACTTATACTACCTGCTTTCAACATTTATTATAAAGCTACAGTGATCAAGACAGTAGGCTGGCATCACATAGCTAGACACAGATCAATAGAACAGAACTGATTTTAGATAAAGGCATAACAGGCAATTCAGTAGAAAAAGTAGTCTTTTCAACAAATGTGGCTGGAATGACTAGATATCCACAAAGGGAAAAAAAAAGAACTTTGATCCATACATCATACCATATTATATAAAAATTAACTCAAAATTAATCACAGACCTAAATGTAACAGCTAAAACTTTATAAACTTCTAGTACAAAATAAGAGAAAATTTTAGTGACCTTGGATTTAGCAAAGATTTCTCAGGACACAAAAACCACAAACAATAAAAGAAAAAACTGGTAAATCAGACTTCATTAAAATTAAGAACCTCTGCCCTTCCAAAAACAGTTAAAAGAATTAAAAGACAAGCCAGAGACTGGGCAGAAGTATGTACATATCTGATAATGAACTTGCATTCAGATTATAAAAAGAACCCTCAAAATTCAACAGTAAGAAAACAGCCCAACAAAATAATGAACAAAAGGTTTGAACAGACACTTCATCAAATATACGTGGGTGGTGAACAAGCAAATGGAAAGATGTTCAATACCAGCAGTCATAAGGAAATGTAAACTAAAACCACAAGACACAATGCTCCTGTCTGAATGGCTGAAGTTACAAAAGGAGAACCAAACAACCTTTAGTAAGAATGTGAAACAATATAGTTAGTATTGACTAGTATTTAGCTCATAAACTAAATTTCCACGTTTGTAGCCCTGATAAAATATTTTATCATACGCAGGTTAAATTAGCTATAAATATAAGATCTTACACTAAAAGATGCTCCCACTGGTACTGAACTAGAGATGATCTTTACTCACTGTGTTTTTGGACGGCTCCCAGGCAGCATCAACCTTCCCCACATCTTGCATATCTTGAAGCTGACGTAGCTGAGACAAGGTGTGATGCCTCAGGGCTTCATGCAAAGGAGTATCCCCATCCTTATCCTGAATATCTAACTTGGCACCTGCACGGACCAAAAGCTAAAAGGGAAAAACATCTCATTTTGCTAAAGTATCCCACTCACAAGAAATAACATCTCTAAAACAAAAGTGGGAGAGCCCTGAACCTAACTGAAGGGGTTGCCACGAAAGCTAGTTATTTTTATGTATCTGCTTGCTACTGCTCTATATCCCTGTGACCCCTTACAAATAATGATGAGTCTGATTATTCAAATAATCCAAATATACTGAATTAAAGAAAACAGGAAGAAATAAGAACCAATATATTGCTTAATTCATCTACTCTAAAATCAAGATAACCAAGGGAAATTTAGGATATTTTTGTCTCCTTTTAATTTCAGATATATGAGTCAGAATATTTAAAGTATTTCCAATAAGACCAAATCATAATATTAAAAATTCTTCTATTATTAAAACAAACAAGCAGAAGTTATTTATACCATTCTCTTTGGTCAATTTTCTCCAAATGTATGCTTATAAGGAAAGTGCAAATATCAAAAGATAAATGAAGACTTTTTGGCAACAGGAATTTTAAATAATAATAAATGTGAAGTGTTTGCTAAACTACAACCTCTTACATAAAATGCATAATTGATATATCTCAATGTATATTTTAAGTAGTGAATATAAAACTGCTTATAGTGCTTTAACAAGTTACCTGTTCCTTTCTACAAATGCTATTAGTTTTAGAAAAACACCACACATAGAAAACAATCTCAAGCATATAGTCTTACTTGTCTTTGCAACCTGTCATTTTTTTGGTTTGTTTTGTTTCATTTACTTTGTTCCAAAGAGATCACATATAATGTTTCCCTAGGACAGCTCCTCAAATTTGAACGTGCATGAGAATTACGTGGAGGCCTGTTAAACCTCAGATTGCTAGTTCCCACCCTGGGAGATCCTGATCTGGTTGGTTTGAGGTAGGGCCCAACAATTTTTCTAACAATGTCATAGGTGATGTTGCTGCTGCTGGTTCAGCCCCCAAACTTTAAGAATCACTCCTCCACAAAAAAGTTTTAAACAGATAATCATTCAAGTATTTTATCTGGAATCACCAGATTAGTAAAATAAAATTACGTATGTCAGCTTTTCTGGAATCTGCTCAGCAAATGTCCAGCCAAAGCCTTTCATTCTCAATTTAAAAAATTAAAGGGGAGTGTACTTAAAAAAAAAAAAAAGGCAAATTTATACATTACTTTGAAATTCTCCGATTTAATATTCTGGGAACTTACAAATCTGGCAAAAAAATTATAAAGACTTTTGTATCTCAAGAGTTTTAAGATTTTCTCTATTACAAATTAAAACACTACCCAACTCATAAAAAAAATGAGCCTAAAATGATAATTTTTATATGTAACTACGCCTTTTGAGAAATGAAATGAATAACATATCACTAATAAGCTAAGATTCACTTTGGTGGACACGTTACCCTCACAATCTGGGTGTGCTGTCGCTCAACAGCAAGGTGGAGGGCAGTCTGCTGGTTCACATTCTGGACATCCAGGTTTGCGTTACCCTGAAGAAGAACAAAGCCGACACAGTGACACGTGACTACAGGGAAGCACACTAAATGGTAACACTTTGTGAGCAATCGGTATCACCGGACACTGCTGACCACACCTCTCCTCCAGCTGCGGGGACACTGTGCTCACATGGTAACAGATGCGGGTACTACAGGAGGAAGTGGATGGGGCAGCAAACTTTCTGAAGTAGAACGGCAAGTTTAAAATAATTATTTTTATTATGGTGATTCTATCTAAGTACAGTTAAAGGACAAAGTACAGAACAGAGCCAAACACAGCTCCCCTCCAATCCCCATCATAGAGCAATGGAGATAATCAGCTTGTTTTAACTGTAAGTATTTCCTGAAAATACATCAATGAGTCTTCCCATTAGATTTAGATTTGTTTTAATGACCTAATAAGGTCACTTCCTCTTGCTGCATAATTGAGCTCCTCCTCATTCAGTGGAAAGGAACTTTGCTGGAGGGTGAGAAGACAAGGCTTACTTAGTACAAATACTTCCTGAAGAATGAGCAGAAAGTCCCGCCAGGGCCCTGGGATAGCCAAAGGACTACAAGAGAACAGCTGATGCCAAGGACAGAGGAGAAGGACTGAGAAGCAAAAGCACTGAACTTAGTGTCAGTGGACCTAGGTTCAAGCGTTGTCTGCTATGAGCTTTGTGAACTTAAGCAGGCGCTGTATCATTTCATGCCTATTCCCTCAGCTCCAAAATGGTAACAGCACAAACTATTTCACAGGGCCAATGTGAGGACTAAGAAAAATAACATGTCAAACTGCCTAGCACGATGTCTGGCATTAAAAAAAAAACTGAAATTAAGGGCTACAGATTCAAAAAATAAACATTATCATACTCTTTATGTGTCAGAATCATTCATGCCCTCTGATCACAACTCTGACACCACACCTGTGCACTTGCTTAGAGCATCAGGAATTGCTGAAACTCCATAAATGCTATGACATGTTCTGGAACATGGGAGTTTCTGGTTTGTTTTTATTATTTATGTCTCTTTTGGTGCAATCATTAGGTACCTGATCTCAGCTTATCTTCTTATCATGTCTGTTTTCATATAAATGGAGAAAGGGAAGGATCTCTTTTTTAAGTTTCCTGAACTTTTCCCATCGTTTATAGATTTTTTTCAAAGTAACGTTCATTGTATGGACATACCGTGATTTGTTTACTCAGGCACTAGCTGATGAACATTTGGTCTGCTTTCAGTCTAGAGCTATTAGAAACAAAACTGCTACAAATATTTAGTAGGAGTATTTGCATGGAAATGTGCCCTCAGTTCTCCTGGATATATATACCTGGAAGTCAGACTACTGGGTTGAATACATGTTTAACTTTATAAGAAACTGCCAAATTGTTATTCAGTATGGCTACTTTGAAAAATACCAGCAATGCTTGTGAATTCTAATTGCTCCATATTCTAATCGCTCCATATTCTAATCGACACTTGGTTAGACTGGCCTTTCAATTTTAGTTATTGTGGTTGGTGATTAGTAGTATCTCACTGTCGTTGTAATTTCTGTTTTCCCAATGGTGAATGATAATTTAAGCAAGGTCACAGGGTACATGGTAAATACACCAAATAATTATAATTCTAAATATTGGCAAAACACAACTAGAAACTGAAATTCTAAAACAATAGAATTTATAGTAGCCTCAAAAAATTACTTACAGATAAATCTAATTTGTACAAGTGGAATCAAACTCCCCAAAGACTTTAAATAGAAACTAATCATCTGATTCTAAAGTATACTCGGAAAGCCAAAAGATCTAGAATACAAAGTAGTCTTGATAAACAAGAACAACGTTAAAGGACTTACTGTGACTGATTTTAAGACTTACTATAAAGGAACAATAACCTAGATAGTGTGGTATTAGCTTAAGGTCAGTCATCTGCATTTTGGATGAAAAGGAATTTACCATAATTAACAATACTTCTAAGAGAATTAATTTTAATAATAAAGGCTTACAATGGCAGGGGAAAGGTAGTTTAACTTTTGAACTACTTCTTTATCTAAATTTCTGTAGCTTAGATCATAGATCTAAGATCTATGTAGGTCCTAGATCATAAGATAGACATTATACATAACGTTCTATCTACTAAATTTTTCTACTGTTTCATCTTCTTAACTACACTGTAAGTTCCTTGAAGTCAGGGACCACAGATAAATCTCTGGTAACTTCAGTGCTTCTCTATGGCATCTGCTTGACCGAAACATTTAAAAATTTTGCTGAATATACCAAACATCATGAAACTGCAATAAATAAGTTCCCCCCCAAATTCAATCTCATAAAAATGTAGAGCCATCAATAAGATGGCTGAAATGAATGAAATGACTTAGGTAAGCCACAGATTCCAGGGGTCCAGCAGCAGTCATGAACTGAACCTCCAGATTCTGGCTACAGCCTGGTGTTACTTGGCAGCAAGTGGCCACACCAGCTTAGGTAACAACATGATGGTTCCCGGTCCTGGGGCTGAGTGATACTTCCACAACAGTGGCAGCAATCCTGGAAAATCCCTTTTAGTTGATGCCCATTTCCGTTAACAACCAATGTTAGGCAGAAGAATGAATTCACACTACATCTGAATTTGTATCATCATGGATTTTTACTGTAACCTACAGGTAGTTGATGAAGTAATAAATAAATGAACAGCAATGATTCAAAATTGTTAAAAATTACTGAACTGCTTTTCCTACCTGATGTACCAACAGTTCAGCCACTTCTACATGATTATTAAGGGCAGCCAGATGCAGGGCAGTATAACCATCATCTTTCTTCTCATCCACAATCCATGGTCTTGGTAATTTAGAAAGTAAAACACGCATTGCACTGAAAATAAAATTTACATTAATTTGGTATTTAATTAAATATTTTATTATTTTCTTTAGAATAAATATTCAAAACAAACTTTTGAAATCAAATGAAAATACTCCTCTTTATAAGAAAATTATGTCCTTAGAGACAATCAGAAATTCAAATCTCTAAATCTCAAATGCATAGCCTCTTGATACTTAATTTTAAGAGCGAAACAAATTATCACTATTTGGAGACTAGAATAAAAATAGAATGAGAGTGCTACAAAGGGAAAACAAAAGAGAAAAGAAATACACCCTAATAAGGATACAATTTCAGCTTTGCAGAATTGCTTACGTTCAATTGGAATAGTATATATTAATGGAAGAGTTAATACAGAACAGCCAGGTAACAACAAAGTAGAAAAAATAGTGTTAAGTAAGACAAATTTTATGTTAACTGGCAGATTATCATGAACTCTGCAGAGTTAAAAATGTAATATACATCATTTAGCAGAGCTAAGTCCAGTTGATATCAAAACACACAAAATGGTCACTAGAATCTAATACTTAAAATTTAATATATGGTAACAAAGTATTTCCAAAGCAAAGAAGACAAAGTTATCCTAAAGAGTACCAAAGATTAAACCATAAAAGATGAGGGGAACTAATTATCAATAAGTGATTCTTTGTAAAGAAGAAGTTAATCTACCTCTCAAAAAGGAAAGTAAAATTAGAAGCAACTTTTCTTACCATACATCAGTAACTTTTCTTAACATACACATTTTATGTGGAAAGCTCATAACATAATTTTGGAAAAAAGCTCCCTTAATATATCTATTCACTACTTGCTTGTTTTTTAAAGACAGACCTAAAATAACTACTCCTGTAAAGAGTACTTGACTTGGCACAGACAACACTGATACATGTATTAGACACACCTAAAAAAGGGACTAAACACATAGGAGAAAAGCTTTTAAAATAGTGCCAGTAGAATACAAAAGGGCAAGAAATAATAGTAAGATATACAGGGATAGTTCTTTCTAAGGTGATATATATGAGAGCTAAAAATTTGAAATAGAGCAATGTTATAAGTGAATGAAGAAACAGTCTGAAGATGCAGAATAAGAATGTGAGTAAATGAAACTGCAAGTCCCTAAAATAACAAGACTAAGGCCTACCATGACCCAGAACATGTTTCCTTAATGGTAGTGGTCTATGAACCCCACATAGGAAGTCCAAGAAGGCTGAGAACAGGCTTTGGAGGATCCAAGAACCTTTACAACTGTACTCAAATTTGGAAGTTTATAGTTTTTATCAGCTTTTTAACAGGTTTATGACCCAAGGTAAATTGAGAATCAAAACATAAAGATACCCGTCAGTTGCTGTTACTGAAGCTACAATTATTATTCATGGGTGACAGACTTCTTTGAAATCTATGGAAAGCTAAGAACTCTCTCTTGAGAAATGCACATAAAAATCTTTACATAAACTTCTGAGGGAATCAAAAACCCCTAAGTGCCATTCATGGACCTCATACAAAGCTAAAGATTCCTGCTTTAGTTTGTTTTCAGTAATCATAAAGATTCTAAACCTCTTCATTCAGTGGATTAAAATAAAATACTAGAAATTACATAGACTTTGACTCAAATTCTTAATGGGGAAAAGTACTGATACAACAACATACTACTGAGTGTTTGCATTTGACATAACCGTGATGCTAATGCCATACATTACCTATTACCTTACATATATGACCATGTGAGAAACAGAATTTATAGTTTTATAAATCCTTTGGAGAGTTTTGAAGATACAAGCATTAAATCATATGAAAAAAGTTTATTAAAGGCAAAATGTTATTGTTAAAAATAATAAGGTAAACACATGTTATAAAGAAAAATTGTGATGTAACTGTGTTGAGAGAAATGGTGGTAACAGAAGACATTAATAGTTTTCACTTGTTCTTCCTTCTTGGATTTCATATGTGAACAACGTAGGGAAAGCTGAGGTCCCTCAAAAAGAAGAACCAGAGGCTCAGAAAGTTACTAAGGCATTTAAAAGGAAGTAGATCTTACGTATTCTTGAAAGCCTACTGCTTCTCTGCATTCTCATTACTTCGTGCCTTTTTGCTTTTCCCCTCTATACAATCCATGTAACTGACCTGTCAGAACAAGGGAAAGGCAGTACCAGGCTACCGTTGGCAGTGACAAAAATACCCTTAGTCCCTTCTATATCACATTCTGCAAAGTATATCAAATCCTAATGTTAAAATGCAAAATTGAGATTTTCAGGGAGCAAGTTGTTTTCCAGAATAAATCTATTCTGTTAATTAGTCCCACTTAAATAAGTGTTGAAATTGCACCAAGAAAAACCATATTAAAATATCTTTCCTTTTCACAATTCTGAGACATTAAGAATTATATCATTAAAAATAAAAATGGAAAGAAATTTGGAATTAATCCAAATGCCTTGTTTTAAACTGATTAGATTATCAGAATACTAGCAATTCTATTTTAAAGAGAAATGGTAATTTCTGATTTCCCACAGAAACAGTCTTACATTGGCAAATGAGATGAATATACCAGACAACAGCGGATTAAGTAAATAAAACAAATGGATACTAGAGAAAAAGAGATTTGTAGAAGAGGAGATCCAGAAGTTGAATTGGGATTAAAAAATAAACAAATGAATGATTAAATAAGGAATCACCAAGATTAAATTACAATAAAAAAAAGAAAATCATGTCTTTTTCTGGAAAATAATGATTGATTAAAAAGAGAGTGAAGAAATGGTTTGTATGAAGCCTGGATAAAGAATGAGAACAATAATTTGCCAGTGTATTATCAGTATTATCCAGGGAAAAAGACCTCTGACAAGCAGCTCTAGTCTAACTTACCCTCCAGGGGAATCAGGAGAATGCTATCAGTTTTCAGTACATCGTCATATGCAAAGTCATCACAGGTTGATGACAATGTCCATTAAGATCATCCAACCAGCTGTCTCACTAATCAATTTCCAATTTTAACTTAGCTTTTCATAGATTTCTCCTCCTTTTTTTCGCTGCCCCCACAGGGGAAAAAAAAGTCTATTGATCAGCTGGTGTAAGTACTATAATCCACTCAGCAGTATTTCTTTCTGTGAATAGTAATTTGGCATTCTTTATTAACGTTAACTAGTATTAGTCATCTCTATGGACCAATAAAGTCAAGGTCCATACTCTGGTCCTGTGAAGACCCAACTATAGGCTCTCACCTATTACATCACATATCTCTAACTGCAACAAATAGTCATGATTCATCTCTAATACCAAACTTCCACAGAAATCTCTGTAAAATATCATAGGATTGCTATATAAGAATTAAATGAGATAATGTAGGTAGAATGTTTTAGTAGAGTCTAAAACCCTTCAATATAATAGTATTATTACAGTTCTAAGATTATAGACCTATAACCTACACATCACAAATTCCCTTTTCTCATTCCCAAGAATTCTTTCTGTATTCTTGATTTTAGTTATTTGTATTACCATTTAACCAGCCACCCAAGTCGGAAACCTGGGAATCATTCAAGATCTTTTCGTCCCTTCTTATTCCTACATTCAATTTGTTCTGTCGGTTTTCCCTTTTAAAACTGTAATTATTCTTTCCCATGGACCCAAATATTCTTTAGATATGCTTCCATTACTTTTCCTTTGAACATCTGTAACAACCCCCTTCCAAACCTACCCTTTATACCACTTCCACACAAATCTAATCATTTCACAATTTTTACAAATTCAAAATTAACAGCATTCAAGTAAAAAAGCTCCCTTTAAAATAAGTAAACCTTTTTAAGATAAGATTGGTCTGGATAAAATTTTTTCTGAAATAGACATTTGGCTTTCATATACTTTTAAAAGAATATGAGACTAAACTTATTATTTTGTTGACAATGGAATTACAACAAAATCAACTCCTGATTAGTTGGGATAAGTTGTGGAGAAATACTGCAGACAGCCCAAATCAAAATTAACACAAAAGCCAACCGTCAACTAGCCAGGAGAAGGCAAATTAATTTTTGTTTTTGCTGTTTTTAAATAAACTTTTCATTTTAGAACTATTTTAGATTTACAGAAAACTGTGAAGATAGTACAGAATTCCTCACCTCTAGTGTTAAAATTTTACATTAATATAATACATCTGTTACAATTAATGAACCAGCACTGATTGTTATTAACTAAAGTCCATACTTCATTCCAATTTCCTTAGTTTTTATTTGATGTTCTTTTCCTGCTCCAGAGTACCACGCCACATTTAGCTCTCAGGCCTCCTTGGGCTCCCCTTGGCTGTGACAGCTTCTTAGACTTTCCTTGTTTTTGATGATGTTGACAGTGTTGAGGAGTACTCATCAGTTACTTTGTAGGATGTTCCTTGGTTGGAATTTGTCTGTTTTTCCCACGATTACATTGGGATTATGAGTTTTGAGGAGGAAGGTCTCAGAGGTAGTGCCACTCCATCACATCACAGCCAGGGCGCATGCTAGCAACATGACTTGTTACTGCTGAGATGAACCATGATCATCTGCCGGAGGGAGTGTTTGTCAGGTTTCTCCACTCTAGAGTTACTCTTTCTCCCCGCTTCTAAACTACAGAATACTACACTGTACCATGTACTCTTTGGAACAGAGTCACAATGCACAGCCTAAACTTAAGGAGTGGAAAGCTATACTCCATCTCCTTGAAGGTGGAGTATCTACATAAATTATTTGGAATTCTTCTACACTGGAGATCTAGGGTAGATTAATTTTAACAGAGACCTAGCACCCTCTCACCTTAATTAGAAAGCTGCTAATTAATGTTGACTCTTGACCTTCCCCCCACAAAAAGCAAACAAACAAAAACAAGTAACACAACACCTCAGGAAAAGAGCCAATCTTCAGACCCAGCCTGCAAGACAAGCTAAGAGAAAAACAGAACAGTCCCTGGTCCCCTCACCCTCACGTTCAGAGCAGCTCTGAGTGGTCTGTCTCCTTTCTTCCCATGGGGTAGACAATCTGAGGAACCCACAATGTAACCATGAAGGTTGGCTGCTCCCCATAGCACCGCAGTTAATTAAGAGGATACTGTTATTATGCTGCAAGCATGAAGGCCCACAGAGTTGCTGGGATAAGGATGTTACCAGCTCAGTAAATCACTCATTTTCTTAAGACAACAGACTCTCACTTATGGAGCACAGTATGATTTGGAGGTATTTTCCCTAACGTTCACTCTTCTTTATTTCTCAATCTGGTTGTTTTCCAAAAGGTTAAGGACATGGATGGTTTAAGGATAAGATCTTACTACCAGTTAAGCAGGCATCTGTGAATAGTGCCAAAGAAGCATTAAGTTCCGGAACAACTAATAGTGGTGCCTAGCATAATCCCTGGCATCTGGTAGTACTCAAACGTTTGCTGAATGATGAACAAATGAGTTCTAAGAAGGAGAGGGGACAAACAGCTGCCTACATCGGTATGTAACAGTCAAATGGCACTGGGTCCATTTTTAGGGCCTGCCATGCTTTGCAATCTTTCTTCAGAAACAGGCAACATTTCCCCAAATAAACCATAGCAGCTAAACTGTAGAGGCCTTACATATTAGTATTACTTAATATAAAAAGACATTAGAATAGTGCTATAGCACATATTAGGGGTTAAATAAATGCGTGCTGAGTTAATGAAGAACCTCTCAAACATAATGAAAGCAGGTCAGTCCAGAATCCACAAAGGAACTTAAGAAAGTTGATCAATCCCAGTTCTTCGGGGCATACTGAAAGCAGGTTAGTGTGCAACGGTCTGAAAACATTTTTATTCAATAAACATCAGTACCTAAAAGGATGGAGGTAAGAAGCCTAGAAGGGTATATACCAAAATGCTATCTGTGATAATCACTTTAGCAAATGAACATGAATAATTTTATTTTCTTTCATCTATTTATAGTGATGAGACATGACTTAAATGTTTTTTAATTTTTTTGATGTGCTTTTTTCCCCCCACAAACTCTTTTTTGACAGATAACATAATTAAGAGGTTAATTCAGCTTAAATTCATTAAATAGAAACTTGGTAATGTAGTAGAATTAAGCTCAAAATGAGAGCTATGCAATGACAACACAGGCTGCAGAAGAGCTGTACAGGTGAGTATTTGAGCTTTCGTAAAATAAGACAACTAAAATTATCTCTTAAATGACTAATAAGCCTTTATTTCTCCTTCTCTTATAGAAGCCAGGGAAGCCCATTTTATTTATCTTTAAACTCCCTTTGTGCAACTAGGATTAGGTGCTCAAAGTTTTGTTGATGGAACGAAAGAACAATCATCTTTCTGAGCATCCTGAGGCAAGATTAGCAACATGCGACATTTTTGATTTATGTTCCAGTCCCCAAGGGCCCTTCCCTCACTGCTTTCATTATTATAAACGAGAGGAGCAGCAGGCACAGTGGTGAAGATCTCAGTCTGAAGCCAAACTACCTGGGTTCACATTCTGGCACCAGCAAACTGAGCAGCTAATGACTTGAGCAGGTTACTTACCTTCAATGCCTCAGCTTCCTCATCTATAAAATGTAAGAAGAATCACAAATCCTATTTCATAAGGTTGTTATGAAAATTTAAAAGGGCTTAGAAGAGTGCCTGGCCCTTCATAACATTATATAAGTGTCTGTTTGGGTGGGGAGGGGGACTTCCCAGCTACAAAATGGTCAGCAAATATAGAGCAATTTAGAAACCTGAAAACCTATCTTACACTTTAAGATATGTGTCATCTTCTCACAGTGTGTCTAAAATTATTTCAATATCTTGGAAAGCTGGCTCTTTAAAACTGCCAAACATCTACACAGAAGCATTCTTTACGTGATTTTTAAAATAGCCATCCAAAATAATTAAACCACTGTTTATTAGATCCTAGAGACAAAAAGGATGTCAAGGACAAACTTTCCTTGCAGGAGAACGAGCTCAGAAAACTGATAACGGTTTTTCTTGGTTCTTAACTGGATCAATACTTAAGAGACTATATTTGAATTAAGAATAAGGTACAGTTGGTTTCTCTTGGGCATTCTTAGGTTTGTAAGATCTTAAATTGTATCTCCACAGGTTTGTTGGATTTGATGTTATATTTTTTTCTCCTTAGTTAAAAAATAAATTTCAATGTTAAACTTAATGGTGAAAATGCTATTAAATTTTAGAGCAAAAGTATTTTTTCCTTTGCAACATACACTATGTGGCAAAGTTACAGACAAGTTAGTAACTATTTAAGCCTGGGGTAAGGTGTGAAATGATCATGCCTAAATGCTATTTCAGAAAATTAAAGCGGAATGGCAGTGTAGAAGGGAGGAAAAAAACCACTTCATATTAGAAAGTAAAATAGAATTTAATTAATAATAAAATGCATCTTAATAGTTATATAAGTATATATGGTTTCAATATAAAAGTACACAATTACTCAAAAGCATTCCAGACTGTTTTTCACCTAAGCACTACAAAAAAAATTAACTAAGTTGACACTGAATTAGAAGTTTTAAGTAGCATTTTCAAGATTTCATTTACACATTACTCTTTTCTTCCTTAGTGGTCTCTTTCTAGCTTCACTATATTGGTTCTACTTACCATCTTCACATATTTTCCATTCAAATATTATTCATTAAATTAAAAAAAATGTATTGCAACATACTAGCTCTAATGTTAACGCTACAAAGTCCCTTCAGGACCTTAGCTATATAAAGTAACACTATCCATATTTTTACCAACAAAAAAATCAGGTTGTGAAATATATTTTGACAGCAGAGGGATTTTACTCGTTCTATATCTGTCTGAAGACTATCTTGCTACTAGCCAGGGTAATGTTTTTCCTCTTTCCTTTTTTCTCTGCAGTGCTTCTAAGTATAGTGACAGCCGCATCAGGCTTTCCTACTCTCAGCGCAAGCTCAGTGAAAATCTGGGAAATGTAAGTGGAAACATGAGAGACCGCTTTATTTGGCAGTGCTTTAGAAAAAAAAAAAAAAGGGCAGGACAAATGGCAAGGCAGTGTTTGGACCGCAGGATGAACAATCAATAGGCAGAAAGCAAGATAGAGGCTTCCTCAGCTTTTGGATCGACAATCGACAGCTGAGAGACTATTTTTTGCTATGGTTGACTAAATATGGTCAGGGAAGAGAGAGGCACAAGGGAGCCTGTTTGCCTGGGAGTGCATGTTTCAAATGCTTAGCTGCCTATAAAGCTGTAACAGTTTAGCCTGTGGCCACTGAGGGAAGAATATGTTAACCTCTGTAGTGACCATGTGGAAGTCCTGACCTTGCTTGCAGACATGACCTCTGGATATGACAAGGTAGCTTCAACACAGATCTACCATTTAATCCTGGAAACTAAAAACCAAAAAAAAAAAACCTCACAGCAAGAAAGATGCAGAATATTTCCTGAGAAGTCAGAAGAACCCAATGTATTCTGGTGGGCAAAGGAAAACAGGGTGAACGCTTCAGTTATTTGGGGGCAGTAAGGTGTGTTTTGGTTTTTGTTGGGGGTTTTTCTGTCTTTTTTTTATATTATAAAATTAACCTTCTGTGCAACCTTTCCCCCTATTGTGAAGCAGTCCATCTGAGAAATAAGTGAGGTTCATTTTTCTTGGCCGTTGTAGCAACCGTCCCTGGTTGCTTAACTTTCAATACAGCAGATACAAGGTACTTGTATCTGTGCAATACTAGTAATATGACCTTCCAAATCAAATGGCCAATGCCAATTCAGTTTTATTGTAGTTTTTGGGGTTCTTTTCTTTTTCTTTCTGTTTTTTTAAGCATAAGGGAAGGGAGTGGGAAAAGATGGCTGGTTTACTTTTGTTTGTTCATTTGTTTATCAAATTTATCCTAAAAGGTGAGGTTCTGTGTTCACTAATACTTCCCCCTTACTTCACCCGGCTCATGAAAAGAAGCGCTGATTCAGCGAATAGAGTGAAGGAACAATCAAGATGAGATGGCTGCTGCTGATGTGACTCTCGGGGTCATTATCTCTCCTCCTGCTGCTAACGCTGCCTGACACTAAGCTTACAGGTAATACAGCACCACAGGCCTGTACTTTTAAGGATGCTTATGACTTTTTGCATGCTTATCTATTATTCAATACATGTTTTTATTGTTAGATTAAATTCTGTCTGGGCACAGCCTAATTTCATAGTTCAAATAAAGAGCTTATGTAGTGCTAAAAAGGAACAGTGTTCAAACATCATGACAGATAACTCTTGATCTCAAACTTGTACAAATCCATTCCTGTCATTTACATTACTGAAGAGTTAGTCTTTATTGTTTCAGATTAAATGGTGATTTTGAATCCCCAGTAAATCACTTTCTGCTTCCAGTAGTCTATTGAGTATACTATCTGTTTAAAAGTATTAACTATTTCAAGGTTTAGTCAACCAAGAAACTTGGCAGATCACAAAATACTTTTTAATGCTTACTCTAATAGTTAGGCACAAAAATAAATCAGAACATGCACAGTGAAATTCTAATGCTGCGTTGCTGAACTGCTGTAGCCCCGGGCTATCCACCGCTCCGTTCTGATTTGCTCTCTATGAGCTGCACTAGCTTTTTAATCACAGGCTGCAGAAATTCTACTTTCTGTGACTTTTTTTTTTCTCCTTTCTCAAATCTGAAAATTTCTCACAGTTTTTAAAAAAATTAACCTTTTAATACCACAGCAATAAAAAGCAACTCACCAACTGTAATTTCTTTTCATGCTAAATCATCAAGCTAAAACCCAACCACTTAGAGGCTAATGTCTTTCAGTTCTTCTAAGTGAGACTTTGGAAAAGTTGACTGTTCTGGTACTTATCCTTTATATTAAAAAAATTAAAAGAATCAAAACAACTTGAACTCACTAAAATTAGACAGTAATACATCTATTGGAACTTGTATTTAACCCAAACAGGAGCACCAAAGTGCAAAATTCAGGTAAGCAACTAACAAAAAGAAAGGAGCAACAAACAAGTTTTCAAATGATCAGGAGATCTTATCTAGACTTAAAAAAAAAAAACTAACAAAAAATCTGTCATCTTTAAAAATTCAGTTCACTCTAAAATGATCTAGATTTTTTTCCTTGTTGTTTCAACTTTAGAGTCAACATCATAAGAAGTGCTAATTGGCTGGCTGTTAAGTTTTTAATAAGATATTTAGTTTGTAAAAAGAATTTGCACTGAATTAATTACTGTCTACTTGTAGGATCTAGAAACAAACTACAAGTAATAAGAAGAAACTTGCTCTGAAGACCATGAAGAAACACTAGGCTGATTTTACCAATTTCTGAAATACATTCTATAAATCCCCATTGATTCTGTGAATCTCTTGCAAAAAGAACCAAACCAGGACAAAGTTCAACAGATAATTGGTCAATGTCTAGAAGTCTATGTCCACCAAGAACAAGGAACCGTAAATGGCACTAATGCCATGCCTCAGGTAAATCTGTTATAAAGTTTAGTCTTTGATAGTCTCTGCAAATGATCTACCAGCTCTCCATCAGTAAGCTGAATGTTTTACTAACAAATGGGAAAATAAAACATTTCATGTTTTTACAGCTAACAACTTAGCAATACCTACTCAGAGTACATACTTCTTTATGTACCCATATGAACATACAATGCTATGGAATGTAAAGAAGTATGTATTTTTGGTAGGCAATAAACCACCAAGCGGGAACTAGACTGCAGCTATGTGAATGACCTTCATATGGTAAATTAATCTAATATCAAAGAGATGACCTTTGGCAATTCTAACATCAGAAAAATGTATCTACTACTTACAGATGGAAACTAAATATCACTAAGGTTTATATTGTGAGGAAAAAGTTCTACTGAAATAGATTTAAAATTGTCGTGAAACTCCTTTTAAATCTTATAAATTTAAAGCATACTACATTTTACATTTTTAAATTAATTACTCACATGATTAAAATCTGAATACAAAAGAGAACAGTATTACTAGCACAAAAAGATGAGGGATACACATGGCCCATTTTCTGTCTCTGCAATTTGATCTTAATTTAGATATTATATTAGCAGGGTTGACTTATTTAAGAAAACCAAGATATAACAAAAGCTGACTTCATTTATATTTTTAACACCTGTTCTTCATATTTTGATAAATTTGTAATCTATTAATATTAGAGGAATTTCTGAAGCAAGTTTTGTTGCTTTAGGTTTTCTTTTTTGAAAACTATAGACATAGTTATAACTTTAAAAAGCTATCTTCCATGTAAAACTCTACTCTCAAAGACAAAAAAAGTAGTCCTTGTCCTTCTCAAATTTTTCAGGTCCCTAACTCAGTTTCCACTTTAAATGCTTTTTAAGTATTTATAATAAATCATATTTATTCATGAAAAATGACAAAATCCTAGGGAACAGCTATAAGTCAACAGGGCACATATTTAAAAGAAATTAATTTATTCCTTATATAATCCTTGAGTTTGCTTTCTCCAAAGAAAGCACATAAAATGAAAGCAATAGTCAAGAAGCCAATTTATACAGATAAACTATCTTTATTGGCACAATGAAATTACAATTCAATTTTTTATAAACATGGTAGACTTACCATGTATAGTATGCTAGAGATATTAATATGTAATTTTATTTTGTATAACACATATATTAATAAAAATTATAAATGATAAAGCTCTTAGCAACAACTTATAAATAGCACCTGTTTTAAGCTACTATGATAGACTTAGAAAAAAAGAAATACTAATATTCATATATTCTAACCATTTCTTACTAAAAGTCTTATTTTGACTGGAGTGTTCAGACGTGTCAAAAGCCTATTTTAAATTTTGTGTTACAGTTGAATAGAATTGGCTCTAAAGTTATCAGTTGTTAATTTTCCCTCTGTTTAATAAGTTAGATGATTTTCATTTTATCAGTGGATTATAAAGAATGAGAGAATGACTCTATTAGATATGATAGCACATTAAGTTATTGCATATTTATTGGAAATTACAAAAAGTTCATAATTTTAAAATTCTACCTTGTCAAAGAAAAAATTAGTTCAAAGCTTAATTCATTCAAGAATAGCCCTTCTTTCTGATCATCCACAAACAGAATGGCAAAGCTTCATATTCCATTTGTTAAGATTAACTTACATGCCCTAAATATCAAAAACTGAAAATATATACCTTAAAAGTAGAGGTTCCCCTATAAAACTACTCAAAAGGTATTGTTAAACCCATGTTTTATAATGAACAATTATATTCATCATTCTACAGGTACAAAAGTTTTAAATACTTATTTTAAAACATTCCAGTGACTAAGAATCTCATTACAACAACATTGAGCATATAATCTTTAGAAAATAAAATGACAGCATCTGTTACTCATCCAAAAAAGTAAAATTATATACTGATTCTAGTGTTTACAAGTTTAACTTAACATATCTAAGAGTATTTTCAATCACTCTAAAATGTCACATCCATCACTTAGATCAGCTGTTCATTTTTAACTGAGTACATATTAAACTCTGGGCATCTGCTGACACTGGTGTAACTCAAACATTTCAACTGTCCCTCTGACAAGGATAACAGATGCTGACATTATCAAATGCTGTACTATTTTTTTTCCATGGCCTCTCCTTACCCCGATATGGCCAGTATATGAAACTGAACTGCCATCCAAAAGCACACTTGAGCAACTGGATCTGCTAAACAGCTCCCATAGAACTAGTAAAAATAGAAGCCATTGCTTCTATTTTATTTTATTGCTATCTTCAGCACTTAAGTCCAGGCAATTTAACAGCTGTTTCACTTCTATTAGAATAAATGATGGAAAGAATTGTAGTTACATTAATTTCACCAGCAGATGCAGAATATACTTAATATGAGAATTGTGTGACTGTTACCTGAATTAGTGTTGACCTTCTCCCAGTTTGATTCACAACAGTTAACTATTTCTTTACTCTGTATTTCACTGAGAGCACTTATCTTACAGGCAAACTATAATTTTTCAAACTTTTATTTTAAACGAGTATTTTTCAGAAGACATTCCTTCCCCATATTGAAATCACCTTATAATAAAAACTTGCTGTTATGGGTCTTAATGGTAGATTTTAATACTCAAATTCATGATGTATTATTGCTAACCACCACAAATCAATGCATTAAGCTGATAATGAGAAGTAATCTGTACCTCAAATGAAAGAGAATTCAAGGAATTAGACCTTTAAAAGGGTTAAATTATTAACCTATGATTAGTAACACTACATAAGCAAAAACAAAGAAAAATAAGTTATCACACAGGGCAGTTCCTTTCAACACAAGTCTAAGCAATACAAGTGTGATCTATTTATAAACCAAAGGGCAGATGATGTACTTTCTTAAGGCCACTCATTCCTCCACCCCCTGTAAGCAACTTGCTGTTAGTCCTTAAGTATCATACTTTAGCATTATAGTATAGCAGCTTTTAATAATAATTTTTTAAAAAGCAGCGGCAGTAGAAAAGTATGTCTAGCAGGACTCTTCCCTAAACTGTTTTGCTTATTTACTTGGTTTGCTGCCCAAAGATAAACAGAAAACATTGCTCTGAAATACATCATGGTCTATTTGCTCGTTTAAATGGTGTTTGTTTTGAAACAGGTCACCGTCTACATTTAAGAATTAAGCAAACGTGTTAAAAATAAAGATGTACATTGATAACTCCTTAATGTACTAACAACGCGTCAAAGGGCAAAGACTTACGCACTTCGAGAGTAGGAAATAGTAGGAAAAGAGCCTTCAAAGTAGAAGGTTTTACATTCAATGACTGAAGTATTGATATGAGAATCTCTTAACATTTGTGGAAGGTCCATAACCATGATTTTACAAATTAAAAACATTAAACTGTTTTGGATCCCAGACTAGCAGCACCACAATGCTTTGCTAGAGCTGGTAAAATGGAACCAAATCGCCTCTTCAATGGATTTGGTCCCCTTCAACCAGCTGTAGCTATGCATTGATTACTACAGGACAGCCAGTGTTTCCATTTATCAATATCAATCACATGTCAACTAATTTCAACTTATTTAAATTGTTCAGATTGTGGTTTAAATCAAGTAATTTATTACTGTTAATTCTTCCTGGAAGAGCCAAGGTGGTACACAATGTTTATACAAAGCTTTATGAAAAAATGTGTGGATGATGTAAGGATTTCAAATAAAATTATTTTACTTATTTATGGTCTCTTGGCATTAAATTTCTTATCCTTCAGAAAAGAAGTGATAATAAAATGTAGGCTATTCCACATAATATAAAAAAAAAAACAAAACTTTCTTCAAAGGAAGAAATTATCTGGGAAGGTCACCTGAAACCATAACAGAAATGCCACAGTGTGGTTCACATGGACATGTGCATATTTTAAATTAAAAATAAACATTATTTAAAATAAAACTCTAGAAATTCTGAGTCACTACGTTCCACAGGATGAGCATTTAATTGTACTGCTATTATCAGAACACTGATAGGCAAGGTGGAAAAGGAGGTGATGATGCTGCAGAGCATCTTGTGGACAGACTTAACCAGTAAGTATCTAATTCTTCTGACCCTGAACCAAAAGACTTTAATCCTCACAAAAGGAACAAAATATTAAACATTGCTACTTTTTACTCATAGATATTTCACCTCCACAAGTTTGTTTTTTCAGTTGTAAAATAAGAAGCCTTTTTTTGTTTCTCAAACTCTGAGTACACCAAAAATGATATATTCTGTCTTACAACATCACTGGTCATACTAGACATACACCAGTCAGTACCAGGAAAGAAAAGCCAGTTTTAAGAATAAGAAATTTGATATGGAAAAAAAAAAAACAAAACTCAAAACAACCCAACTTGTTGCAACCAATATATAAATTGTGTTATCTTCTGATACGCTTTCATGTCCAACTAAAATCGCCCTCTTTATCTGGCAAGCTACAGTCACAACTACATAAAACATCTTAGGGAAACACAAATATTTTTTAAGAAGTTGCATAGCTTTAACTAAGCACCACTTGATTTTAGAATAAAAGTTTTCTTTTTCTTCTTTTTATGTCACCTGACACCAATTATCAGGTAGGAAGAGTCACTGTTATAAACATCCAGGGAAGTTCTCAAGAACTGAAGAAACAGAAGTGGTGTATTTTCACCTCCTTGTATAGGCTTAACATTATTAAATATACTATGCCTACCTTCAGTAAAGGTAAACAATTCAAAATATTTAAAAGTGACTCATTTCCTAAACACTTCAATTTTCAGTCTGTCTTAAAACTTTGTATCTTAAAAACAGTATAACCTAAATTAAATTCCCTCAATAAAAACTTTTGACCATTCTAATTTGAAGTAACTGCTATTTGAACTCCTGACACAGTTTCTCTAGAGAATTTACATTCTAATTAATCATATACTCTTGTGATAACTAACACTGTCCTGACCATCAAATTAAGACTAGCATTTATTGAGTCCTCACTATAGTCAAGACATTATAGGAGATACACAGATAACTATGCATGCCCACAATTTTAACAAAGATACATAAAAATGGACATACTAAGGGGCAGCACAAAGCAGATTATAAGCACAACAGACACAGAACAAGGAAGTGCAGAGCAAACAACATAATTTCAATGAGATCTAGGAGCTCTGGAAGAAACCTGGTTAAAAAAAAGAAGGGGACAGGGGGATCCCAATGAAAGAAAATCCTTAATAAATGAAGGAAGAGAGGAGACAACTTTAGGAAGAGAGAGTAGTATAATGGAGCTGAAGGGCAAGGTGGGCAGAGGGCTTTTAATTAGTGGGAGATAAAGTTAAAAGAAAGACAGGCTTAGGACATGCGGGAAGTGGGTTTGACATATTAATACATTCTTAGTTAAATCATTCACTGTTCCATGTGTTTGCCTTGCTTCACCTATAATACCATAATCCAGAAAAAAAAAATATATATATGAAGTGGCTAAGAGCAATGATGGTAAAGTCAAATAGATCCTGCTCAAGTTCCAGCTGCTCCACTAATCAGCTGTGTGATCTTAAATAAGTAAATTCATCTCTTTATAAGCCTCATATTCTTCACCTATAAAATGAGGATATTAACATCTGCTTCCAAGGGCTATTCAAAAGATTAAATGAAATAATGCATGTAAACTATTTAGAAGCCTGGCCTGTGGTAAATACTAACATTATCATCTTCTATTTGAAAGTCAGGGAACATATAATACTATTTGTCTCCTTTATAATGCTGAAGTACGAAGTTTTCAAATACTTGTAAGTTGAAAAAGCAAATCAAAACAATCTAAAATATGGTAATTTATTTCATCCTAGATTATATACCTATTGTCACAAGTACCAACAAGCAATAGCAATAAAATCCTTTTGTTCTCTGTGCTCACCCTCTAGTGGTGATCTTAAGAAGTTAAAAAATAGCAAAATACTAAAGGAAACATGATGTAAAAATGCAATACGGAATCAAAGAATAAGAACTCATGGTGACTACAGTTAATAATTCTGAACTGTATATTTGAAAGCTGCTGAGAGAGCAAATCTTAAAAGTTCTCATCACAAGAAAAAAAAGTTTGTAACTATGTGTGGTGATGAATGTTAACTAGACTTACTATGGTGATCACTTCACAATATATACAAATATCAAATCATGTTGTAACACCTGAAATTAATATAAATTATACCTAAATTTTAAAATTTTAGGGTAGATCAAATTATCAAAATAAACTCCTAAGTAAACATTTCCCTCAGTCAATATATGTAGGTTTGAGTCAACTATATAAACAAGACATCTAATATAAAGTTTTCTGAAATGTTTTTCAAAGTACAGTTGTTCGAAAAATTTCATTTATAGAAAGCTCTAGGTTAAGCAAAGCTAAGCATTTTCCTTTTCTGTGGGACTTTACAGATCCTTTATAAATTCCATGATTTCCCGAAAGTCTTTCTCAGATTTTTAACCAGCAAGCAGTTTTTTCAGTAGATCACCTATTACAACAATGGTTGGAGAACATCCATACTAGACGTTTACCATACTAGAAGTTTATATAGCTAATTATATTATTAATAAGAAATTACACAACCTCCTATTTAGCCACAAGTTTAAGAAAATAATTACCATGCAAAATAATTACCATGCAAATGGATAACATTGGATTAGAAGACACCTGGAAATGATCTTGAAGAAACATAAATCTCAAAATGGAATGTATTTTAATTAAATTTTTAGAATATAATTGAGTATTCTTGATATCCATATTTATCTCCATATTTAACATATATTTAAACAGTCATTTCATAATACTTGTATTAGTTTAACCAAAAAAACCATCATATAAAACTAAGCTACTTAATGAAGACATGATTTCCACAGACCTTAAAATAATTTAAAATATTAAAAATAAGCCAAAACTATATCCTCATCAGTATCAGAAAAAGAAAACCAGCAATAGGAAAATATTTTTAAATTGCATATAAAATAGTAAAAGGTGACATCTGTACCTGGGATTTCCTCTTAGTGCAGCATGGTGCAAAGCATTAAATCCATTATTATTTGTAATGGTAACATCTGCTCCAGCTTCCAGAAGAACTGCCAGGATATCATCACGTTTCTTACTTATTGCATCATGAAGAGGGGTATCACCTTCAGAATCCTTTTATTTTTAAGTTTAAAGAGGCTTTCATTAGTTCTTCTTCAATCAATCATCAAATGTAATATTAACATTTATACTGAACTACTGAAGAAACCAAAACGGAAGTCATATCCAACAACCATTGATAAAACATGCTGTGTGTTAAATTTAAAAACGCAGGCAAGATATACTAGCCTCATTATAGTAAAGAAACTCCTACTCAGTCTAGATAAAAAACACAATAAACATGTTGTAGCTTTCCAAAGAAAATGAAAAATAAAAACTTAAGTACCCTCAAATATAATTCAGTAAATAACAAAAATTAATGAGGTGGAAAAGCTACCCCCCCCCAAATTCATTAGGTTACAATGGCTTGTCATACCACATTTGTTGTACCCTAAAATTCCTTACCAAACCCACATCAGTCTTGGAGCCCCATAGTAATGAATTAATGAATTGAAAGTCAGTGGTTCTCAATCTTGGTAGCACTTTAGAATCGGCGGGGAGTTCTTAAAACTCCTGATACCCAGGCTGTTCTTCAGACCAATTAAGCTGGATTCCCTGAGAGTGAGAGCCAGGCATCAGTGGTTTTTCAGAGCTCCCCAAATGAACACATTGTACACTCCCGGTTGAGGATCATTAATCTAAATGTTTTCAAAGGGCAGGAAAGTCGCTAGTTAACTTAAAGTGGAAGCAAATGTAAAAGAAAATTTGGCAGTCTCAGTCTACCTTTTTCTCAAGCTGACTACTTTTTTTCATTAATCAACGATTTAGCAATGAATTGTTATTCACCATCAGTCATCAGAATTAATGGATAACTAGACCTCATTCATTTCATAGTCACAAATGCTATTCTCAGGAAAGGCAGATATAGCCTAACCTACGGCATATACCACAGTCGCCAAATTCAGCCTTCCACATATTTTTGTAAACAGTTTTACTGGAACACAGCCATACACAGTCATTTATGTATTGTCTACAGTTGCTTTCATTCTGTAATGGCAGCGCTGGATAACTGTGATAGAAACCATGTGAAAGCCTAAAATATTATCAGGACCATTACAGAAAAGTCTGCCAATCTCAGGTATATATTCAATGACCTATATAAAAATTTCCTAATACAAGTTCAATCCAACAATCCAACTTCTATCCTCCTATCTGGTGGCACTAAAAATTCAGTTTCCAACTTGAGATGGCTCTTAACATGTTTGGAATAAGCTTCTACAGGTCTAATCTGTCCTGCCTTCTGTTCCCTAGAGTAGCTATTCCAAACCTTTATCATACCTCTCAATCACCCTTTCTGTGCCTACCACTCCCCACTCACTCTCAACAGATGACCCTGCCTCCCATTTCAGACACACAAAATCAGCAGGTACAAATTCCCACTCCTTCAACAAATTAACACCTTCCCAATTCCTGCCCTACCCTCCAATCCAGCCATCCACTTAGAAGCTGTCGGTTCCAACTTCTATCAGCATCAAAATGTTTGTAGCTCAGAAATATTACCATCTAGCTGAACAAAGCCTGATTCTCTTAGTTCTTCTCAAACCCTCAGTCCCATTACTCCTATTCTTCTTCATTACTTCTCTGAGATCTATCCAGTTTAACTAACCTGGCTGCCAAAACTTTAGATGGGAAGAATCATTTCTTAGGTGACTCACTTCAAAAAGTAGGCCCTACTGTAAACCAACCTTGAAACCCTATACGTATTTGCCAAATCAGAAAATCTTCCAAGACTAGACTAATGACCGGACCAAGACTCAAAGATAAATTAATCCACAATGAATCAATAAAATTAAATCAATTAATAGCTGATATTTTCACAGTAAGTCCCCATCCCCAACCTCCCAATACAAAATCAATCTACTGACACTTTCTTAAAAAAGGCTTTTCAAAAAAGTAATCGCTGCCAATTTTATGACATTCTGTACATTTTCTATCACTTACTATGAATGGTCATACAAAAAAAGATCTGATAACAAAGGAATGCTTACCATACAGCCTAGTACTTCCATTTAACAGAATTCTAGCAATACCTGAAGAATGTATTTCTCTAAAGGTTTTACCTGAAGACTAGGATGACAGCCAAAGTCCAGTAGAGTCTTCACCACCTGCAGGTGACCTTTATTGACGGCAATGTGAAGTGGTGTCTGTCGGCGCTTGTTTCGAGCATTCAGATCAGCGCTGCCTCGGTGCAGTACTTCTATGACAGCACCTTCGTCTCCAAAAGCTGCATGGTGAACGGCTCTGTCTCCATCTTTATCCTAAATAGCAGCATTTAAGTTTGAGTTAGTGAATACTTTAGAAAGAAAAATAAAACTTGGAGCTATAATAATTCATCTCTTGATTAACATGAGAAAAGGAAACAGAATGGAGCCAACAAAATAACTAGACATTCACTTGAATACTGACAAGCTCCAAAGACAGACAACGACCTGGATCATTATATTAGGTCATACATATTCTGGACCAACAGTTATATCAAAAGTAGTCTGATTCTCCAGTACTCCTAATTTATCAGCCACGATGGTAAGACACCACTAGAAAAATATTAAATGATGATACAACTAATACAATTTTCTGTATATTCAAGAACAGAAAAAAGTTAAGCACTTTATTTAAAGATAAAAAAGAAACACAAGCAAGCATAATTCCATACATCCAAAATCCCAAAACTATTTCAGAGGAATCCAGTAAGTATACCACACCTTCAGTAATAAGCACATTTCTGAGGATCTGACAGATTGAAAAAAAAAGACCCAATTGCTTAAATTTTTTTTCAAATGTAAAAAACTGCTTTTTAAAAAGAAAAAAAATGCCTGTACTGCACCCAAAAGATACTATACACAAGTCCATACCACAAAGAGTCTCATCCTCTTGTTAGATACAGATGGAGAAAGGTATTATAAGGGTATTGTCTTTATTCCATACATATCTCAAATTTTAACACCCAGAAGTAAGCATACTCTCAGACTTTCTTCAACCCATGGTAACCCCTGCTGGACTCTAGTTTTTGCAAGCGTTTTAAAAATCCATATGGCACCCAGACTTCTCTAAATTACTTTCCAAAGATAACACTGATAAATACCATTGTGATTAAATTGATTTAAAACAAATGAACAGTTTGTTTAAAACAGTTGCTGAATTCAAAACAGTTTTTGGTCTTTGCATGTTTTCTCAAACAGATACTAAAAGTAAAATCACTCATGTAGGAGTCCACAACGATTTGACAACCATTCTTGGGAAGGTAGGAAACCACCACCGGGGAGTACTTCTACCTTATTAATATTCTAGCTAAACAAGGTTAGGAGTTTTTGTTACCTGTCAACCTTGAGCATAAGGGAACTAGCAAACTACCACAGGAAAGATTTAAAATTCAACTCTTGTGCTTCTGAGCAGCATTATATTTAAATATCCCAGGAAGACAAGCTTCTTACAAAAAAAATTGTGTGTGCATCATTAACCTCTCTAGTGACACATATCAGTATTGTAAAATCTTAGATTTAAGCTCTTCCTAACCTCCAGTCTGGATATATTTTCTGTTATAATTTTTAAGCCTGTCTAGTGGTACTCCTTCCATTAATAATGGGAACATCAACCCACTAACACTCACTGAATAAAACCAGGATTATTTATGAAGTGAAATATATATATATGGCTGTTCAAAAACTGCTACCAAAACACTGTTATGTAGGTTCCATCAACAATTTATTTATGTAAAAAAAAATCCAAAAAATTAAAAGCCCAAATATGTATCAAAAGGAAATTCATAAGAAAAATTTAAAGATTTTGGAAAATATATATACACACTAGAAAAGAATTTCCAGACTTTTATTCCAAATTAGAAAACTTCAGTCACACGAGGACCTTAATTTACAGGTTTTGTTGCTCTCTTCCAAGTTTATCTGAAGTATTCCAAAAAAGCTAAAACATCCAGGTCATTATTCTGCCTCTGATACTGCACCAGATTAGATGTTATGGGACAAAGCTATAGCTCACTGCCAAAAGGTTACCTAAAAAGATTTGTGAAGGGGCTTCAAATTAGATCTAAAACTGATCTTGGTTCTTTCTACCCTCTTGCCCCCCTCCCTCTCCTCTCAAACTCCAAAACCTGCTCTTGTTTCCAGTTTTCCCTATCTTAGCTGACAGAATCAAAAACAGTATGCTCAACAAAATCAGTATCTGTAGGTCATGCTCACCTACTTCCTTTCCTTGAACCCCTACAGGCAAGCACCAAATTCTATGGCTTTTACACTTTAATTTAGGCTCAAATCTATTCTCTCTTCTCCAGTTCTGCACAGAATCAATTCAGGCCTCCCTTCACTCTCACTCACTTGATCTACTGCCATAGCTCACCCAGCCTACAATTCATTCTTACTCCAATCTCTTCTACACACACATAAGACAGAATTCTCTTTGTAAAACACTAAATTTATGTTTAAACCTCGTTAGTGTAACTCTATTAAAACCAAACCTCTTTTAAAGCCTACCTCTATGGACCACTTCAGACTCATCTGCTGCCAATGTTCCCTCATGTGTAAAACTCTAACTTATCAACTTACTCAACCCCGTATGTTCATATGCTGCTCCCCAGACTTCAATGTTCTTAGTCATTACCTTGCTGGCTTGAGAACAGATATCCTTGAAAACTCAGCTCAAGCAATTCCTCTCCTATGAAACTTTCCCTGACTATCACAAAATTAGTTTATCCCTTCTTCTGTCATCTCACTCATCACAAGTCTATCATTTTTATTCGACTGTGAGATTCTTGGGGGTTACAATTGTGTCTTTTTATTTTTTTATTGAGGTATATAGTCAGTTTACAATGTCGTGTCAATTTCTGGTGTACAGCACAATGCCTCAGTCGTACATACACATACATATATTTCTTTTCATATTTCTTTTCCATTATAAGCTATCACGGATATTGAATACAGTTTCCCGTGCTATACAGTGTAAATTTGTTGTTTATCTGTTCCAAATACAGAATTTAGTATCTGCAAGTCTCAAATACTCAATTTATCCCTTCCGATCCCCCTCTTCCCGCAGTAACCACAAGTTTGTTTTCTATGTCTGTGAGTCTGTCTCTGCTTTATAAATAAGTTCACTTGTTTTTTTTTCTTTTTTTTTAAGATTTCACATAATAAGTGATAACATATGGTATTTTTCTTTCTCTTTCTGGCTTACTTCACTTAGAATGACTATCTCCAGGTCCATCCATGTTGCTGCAGATGGCATTATTTTATTCTTTTTTATGGCCGAGTGGTATTCCATTGTATAAATATACCACAACTTCTTTATCCAATCCTCTGTCAATGGACATTTAGGTTGTTTCCATGTCTTGGCTATTGTAAATAGTGCTGCTATGAACATTAGGGTACATGTATCTTTTTGAATTAAGGTTTCCTCTGGATATATGCCCAGAAGTGGGACTGCTAGATCATATGGTAAGTCTGCTTTTAGTTTTTTTAAGGAATCTCCATACTATTTTCCATAATGGCTGCACCAAACCACATTCCCACCAACAGCAGTAGGAGGGTTCCCTTTTCTCTACAGCCTCCTCAGCATGTATTGTTTGTAGACCTTTGAATCATGGCCAAAAATGGTGTGAGGTGATATCTCATTGTAGAAATTAACTATCTTCTCCATCTTTTAAACCAGGATTTCCCAATTTCAGCATTAATGACATTTTGGACCATATAATTCTTCATTGTGGGAGCTGTCCTGTGCACTGTAGGATTTATGTAGCATCCTTAGTTTCAACCCATTAGATGCCAGTAATATCCTCCTGCCTCCCACCAACCAATTGTGACAATCAAAAATGTCTCCAGAAAATGTCCGCTGTGGGACAAAAATGTCCCCAACTGAGAATCACTGTTTTAAACAAACCATGTTGCTGTTTATGACAGACAATGTTAATTCTCACATTCTAGAAAAATGAAACTTTGATGAATTTTTGTTTTAGTCTTACTTAGGCAACGAATTATATTTATATTTCAACCCAATTTTTAAATGTAATTTTTGGGAAACTATGTCATTAATTTAATCTTTTGTGTAAATATTCCTTTTTCACACTATTTGTACAAATTACATCTGGCTACAATAGTTCTTAAAACAGAAAATGCACAGAATGGAAATTCAAATGAGGAGGTATGTTAGAAGTCCATATATATCTCCCTGCTTTAGTAAAAGACATAGTTTTCAAACTGAAAGATAAATTATTTACAAACACCTCGTCTACTGAGCCTCACTCTTCAGTCTTACCACGTGTACCATTTGTTTTGCATCTGAATTCAATTAAGGAAAAAAGAAACCTACTCCTGAAAAGCAGTACCAACTCACATGAACAAGAAGTTTTTAGAAATATTATAGATAGTCTCATGTTGTCAGGCTTAGTAATTAAATTCTGAATCAGAAAGTATAGTTTCTAAAATATCAGGCAAAAAAAAATCGGTTTTTCAAGTCTCTCACCTTATCAGCTTTAATCAGAAGGGTTTTTAGTATTTTAGCAGTTGCTGCTATTGTAGTTTCTGGATTCATTGAATTAAAAGATAGAATGTTCAACTCAGGGAATTTCACTCCATTTCTTAGACCAGACTAAAACAACAACAAAATAAAGCAACTGCCTGCCACTTACAAAGTACTAAATTGGTATTACGCCTTTCTTACATCACCAAAAAAAACCTTTTAACACACACTCGTTTCCTAAATTCACAACCAAGAAAGATGTAACTTAAAAATTAGTACTGTAAAAGCAAAATAAAATTATTTAATCTCATTTATAAATATATCACACTAATAGAACAAGCATATAGTTTATAAATGTATAATATGCTAACTTAAAATTCAAACTCTTGGCAAAAGAAAATTCCAACATCAAAGATGACTTATCTATGCCTACTACAGCTCTTTAGGAGCTGTCCAGCAACTCAAGATACATACAATTGGGGGAAAGAAAAAGCAAAAATAATGCAAGACTTTGCTTTTCAAATACATGTCTTTAAAATTTTGTAATTAGTGAAAACAAGCGGGTCTACAAATATAGCCCTCAGAAATTCAAATCCTTATTACATAGCTTCCTCAGATGGGAGTGTCATTTGGACAAAACTGTAACATTCTGCCTAGTATTAAATTTGATAGAACTTGGCTTATTTCTAAAGAATCTTGCATTGGACTAAAACAAATGTAATTCTAACATATTTTTAAGTGATGAGGTTCTGGTTAACCACAACAAAAAAAAGGCATCCCTCACATCAGCCATACATTTCTTTTTCCTTTAGTAAGAATATACCCTAAATTAAATTAAGCACATAAACACACATAGAGTGATAAACATGCAGTGTAAAATCTTCAAAAACCCACACTAAGATCAAGAAACAAAAAGACTAAACAAATTCTAATTTACTGGTTCCCTCAGGAGAAAAGCACAAAACACAAAGAAAGGCCTCTGAGTGTCACATATCAGGAAAAATCTTGTCCCATATAATTTATATTCCTCTTTGCTCATTTTCACCAGTATGATTCGTGAGTAACTCCAACTGGGCTTCCAACAGCATGGTAGTCCTACTATAGCAAAGGGAAACAACTATTTTCACTGAGGGTTACGCCTAGAACATTGAGGAATCACAAAAAAACACAAAATGCTTCAGGCTGTCTTCCGTCAAATTTTTCTTTTCAATCAGAAAAGCCGATAGATAAACAAGATTATACTGTATAGCACAGGGAAATGTATACAAGATCTTGTGGTGGCTCATGGTAAAAAGAATGTGACAATGAATAAACGTATGTGTATATATGTACAACGGAAAAATTGTGCTGTACACTGGAAATTGATACATTGTAAACTGACTATAACTTAATTTAAAAAATGTTAAAAAAAATCAGAAAAGCCTTAGGTTAATATTAAATTTCAAAATGAAAACAATCCATCTCATGACACAGAAGGACACTAATTTTTACTTAAAATATTTTTTAAGCTTAGTTTAATTACCTCTGCTTCTACATCCACATTTTGCTTCAAAAGTAACTTCAAAATATCAACATGTCCATTCTGACTAGCAGCTTGCATAGCTGTGTGACCAGCACACTGTCCATTTACCTATATTGAAAAAAAAAGGGGGAGGAAGTAATGTCACAAGTCAGAAAGAGCCAATACATACATATAGTGTAGGTTTAAATCCAGCAAACTGTATGATTTCATGAAAATAATTTAGGCTGATGTTCTATATATCCTAGTACAGATCACCAGAAATAGATACCTCTAATTTAGAGAGGGATTCAGGCACTTGTTTTTAAAAAGATGAAAGTTCCATTGTTCAAAGAGTTATGAAAGAACCTTTAGCCAGTATGCAAAGTTGAAAACATAAAGGAAGTAAGGGAAGGAGGGAGGAAGGGACCAAGGGAAGTAAGGTTATTCATTTTGTCTACATATGTCTTTATTATTAAACCTCAGAGTCTGTTTCAATGAAAAAACAAAGTAATGCAGTAAATGGAAAACACTTAGAAAAGATATTGTCTACTACAGCATAAATAAACTGAATTCAACAAATATAACCAAATAGCAATGGTAAGCAATCTACCAGGAGGCATACATAAATGAGTTATCAGGGTAGCTGTACACAATCATTCTATTATAGAACAGTAATTTCCAACCTTTCCTTCATTTCAGATGTGTAAATGCATAACTTTACCCATGGGTATACCTAAGGCTAACTGCAATTCCTTAATTGTAGCACATTCACTCCAATGCATAAAACCATAAAAGATGGTTAAGGACACCACTTACTAATATCAGAAATGAAAGAGAGGTATCATTACAGATCCCATGGACACTAAAAGGAAGATAAAAATTCTGGAAACCCTATGCCCACAAATTTGATAAGCTAGATGAAATGGACCAATTTCTTGAAAGACACACTCTGCCAAAACTCACATAAGAAGAAACAGAACATCTAAAAAGGCCTGTATCAATTAAAGTAATTGAAACAATAATTAATAATCTTCCAAAACACAAAGCACCAGGCCCATACGGGTTCACCAATGAATTCGACCAAACATTTAAGGAAGAATTATACCAATTCTCTACAATCTTCTTCAGAGAGAAAGCAGCTGACAAAGATGTTGCAAGAAAGGAAAACTACAGACCACATCTCTTACGAACACAGATGCAAAAATACTCACAAAATGTTACCAAATCAAATCACCGAAAGTACTTAATTATATACCACAACCAAGTGGGATTTACCCCCAGGTATACAAGGCTGGTTCAACATTTAAAACTCAGTTAATATAATCCATCACATGAACAGAGTTAAAAACAAAAATCACATGATCATATTCATAGATGCAGAAAAAGCATTTGACAAAATCCAGTGCCCATTCATGATAGAAACTCTGAACACAGAATAAAGGGGAACTTTCTCAATCTGATAAAGACTAGGTATTAAAAAATTACAGCTAGCATTATATTTAATGGTGAAAAACTACAAGCTTTCCTACTAAAATCAGGTAAAAGCATGTCCTCTCTCACCATTCCTTTTCAACATCATTCCTTTTCAACATCATACTTTACTAACACAGTAAAGCAAGAAAAGAAAATAAGAGATAAAGACTGAGAAGGAAGACATAAAACTGTCCTTGTTCACAGATGCCATGATCATTCATGTGGAAAATCCAAAAGAATGGATCAAAAAACCTCCTGGAACTAATAAGCAATTATAAGAAGGTTGCAAGATACAAGATTAACACACAAATGTCAACTGCATTCCTATGTACTAACAAACAAGTAGGATATGAAACTAAAAACACTATCACAGCACAGCAAAAGAAATCACCAACAAGATGAAAAGGCAACCTACTGAATAGGAGAATTTATGTGCAAATCATATATCTGATAAGGAGTTAATATCCAAAATATATTAAGAATTCATACAACTCAACAACAACAAAAAAAATCGATTAAAAAATGGGCAGAGTTGCTGAATGGACATTTTTCCAAAGAAGACATACAGATGGCCAATTGGTACATAAAAAGATGCTCAACATTACTAATAATCAAGGAAATGGAAGTAAAAACACAAAACCATTTACATTACCACCCAAAAAATTAAACACAGGTATAAATTTAACAAAATATGTATAAGATCTACATGAGGAAAACAATAAAACTCTGATGAATCAAATCAAGGAACTAAATATATGGATACTCCATGTTCATGGATAGAAAGACTCAATACTGTCAAGATGTCAGTTCTTCCCACCATATCTACAGTTTAAATGCAATCCCTAGCAAAATCCCAGCAAGTTATCTTACAGATACCAACAAAGTGATTCTAAAGATCATATGGAAAGGCAAAAAGACCCAGAATAGCCAACTCAATATTGAAGGAGAAGAACAAAGCTGGAGGACTGACACTACCTGACTCTAAGACTTAACTACAAAGCTACAGTAATCAGGAATACGTGGGAAATCTCTGTACCTCTCTCAGTTTTAGTTTGTAAAACCTAAAACTGCTCTAAAACTAAAATCTAAAATTAAAAATTATCAAAAATTTCCAGATATGAAAGATATGATTTCCAGAATAAAAAGATCAAACATTAAAAGCAAAGGATGAAAACAGACCCACATCAAGGCACAACCTGTGCAAATTCAGACACTGGTGGAAAAAAAGATCTTCATGCTTGATAGAAAAAACAGCTCACAGGCAGGATCAGGAATCAGAAAGGCTTAATAAATCTCCTCAACAGCAATTCTAAATGCTGGAAACAAATGGGATTATTCTGAAGGAAAATGGTATCTAACCTTGAATTCTATTCCTATGTAAAATTTAATTGTAAGGTTACCAAAAATATATATATATATTAAAGGTCTATTCCCCATGCACCCTTTTTCTGAAGAAGCTACTGAAGACTACTTCAAAAAAGAGAGAGTAACCATGGAAACAGGAGGACAGAGGATACAGAAAACAAGAAATTCAACACAGGAGGGGAAGGGAACCTCCAGGATGATGGGTGAGAGACACTGGGCACCATATGTAGAGGGCAACCTGTCCAGATGGAACATGTCAGAAGGCACTGAGAGAAATCTCTCTTAGAAAATGAAATGAATACATATCTAGTATGCCTGAATGTCTTGAGAAATTACAAAATAGAGAGAATGCTGGAGAAGAATTAATTATGGTATGGATTACTAACAAATGAAAAAAATTTTTAGATTATGTCTTGAGGTTAAGAGAGAGTGACTGGTAAAAACTACAAGTGAAATCTCTGGAACGAAGGAAATGCTCCACATCTTAACTGGACTGTCAATTACATGGACATATGCATCTATCAAAACTGACTGATCCACGCATTTCACTGTGTGTAAATTACATTTCAATTTTTTAAAAAAGAACAATTAGGAACACCAAGGAAAAAAAAGTTGTGTAAGAAAACAAAATTTAGTATCCTCCCCAGCTCAGATATGAATGTTATTTAAATAATAACATGCACAATTAATTCTAATCTTAACAAAATTACAATACAATATTACATTAAGAATCTGCAAGAGGTATGTATGTGTGTGGTGCGGACGGGCTGGAGGTGGCGAAAGAAAGCCGAATCCTCACCTTCACAGAGAAGTATCAAAAGAGAACTCATAAAACATAAAAATCAAGAAATAACATTTGAAGTATATTACTGAAAGATATGAAAGTAAATATGTGAGGAAAATCAGCTGTAAGATGCAAAAATAGTTGCCTCTGAAGAACAGGAAAATAAGATTGAGAAGATGTTGTTTTTCATAATAAATTTTATAGAACTATTTTTCTCTTTAAATTTTTAGAATGTATGATCCTAAAAAACAACTAAATTAGTTATTACATGAAGAAAAAAATTAAGCATATATAATAAAATGCAAATCTGCTTGACTGAATATAAAAGTCTGATTCTACCTTCCAAACACAAAAAACATTTGGTACTTTGAATATCTGAAACAAATTCTTCGTGATATAGCTCACAACTAATGAAGAAACCACTGTGTTACGCTGCTGCAGCTGATCTCTAATAAACCTAAACTGCCACACGAGCTCATAGGAATAAAATGTTTGTATCTTATAATTACAGATCTTATCTTCGTCAGACAGTCTGGTATATTCACGTACAAAAGATGTAGCAACAAAAGCCCTCACTACACAGTGACAAAGACCCAAATTGACATACAACGTACAATCTGTTGGCCAGCACTGATATCATATCGGTGCCAGAACAGTTGTAATGGCAAAGCCAATGAGCAACTAAGAGAGAACAAAATTTAAATTTTGAACCATTGGCTTATGTGAATGGCAGAATCACAAAATAAACTATTAAGATGTACAAAATGAATGACCGTTAATTCACCTGTATTATAAATTATGAAACTATCAACTTTCACAGGGACAGGAAGTGAAAAGTTTAGATTAAATGTTTTGAAAGAGGAATAGAAAACTACTTACAAAATTTACTAAGATATATTTTTAAAACATAATAAGATGACACATGAGAAAATTTCACTGAATTTCCAAAAAGGACACTAACTACTTAAAAACCTAAAAGTAAATTCTGTCAATCATAAAATAAAAACAGTCAGTGTTAAAATAAGAAAATGTCAATATCTTTTAGAAATGCACACTGAAGAAATAATGTCTGGTGTCTTCTTTAAAATACCTCAAAAACAAAGAAGTAATTGATAAAGCACATGCAGCAAAATCTTAGTTAACTGCTGAAGTATAACGTTTGTTGTACTATTCTACTTTTGTGTATGCTTCAAAATAATTTTTAAAATGCTCACATCCACATCTGGTCTTTTTAGCAAATCTTCCACTTTAGCAACATCTCCATTGGCAGCAGCCTTAACTAATTCTTCATTGAGGTCACCAGATTCTTGGGTTTCAAATAATTTCTTCAAGAGTTGGGAGAGTCTTTCTGTAAAGCATCAAATAAAGCTGCTAATATAGGAGGATCTCAAACCTTAACTACAAAAAGACAAGCAACACCCATATGCCTATAATATATACTCTTCCTTTTTTATTATTTCTATCATTTTTGTACTATGCTACAGATATTACCCATGCAAGTTATATAATTACTACCATACACAGTTGCATCAAATTCAAGCCCATAAGTATTCCCAGTTTACTCCAACTCATGCATTTCAAGTTAAAATTTCAGAAAAAGAAGAGAATTACATACAAATTATAATTCCAGTATTGGGTGTCATACCAAAGATATTACAAATTAACACACTCTAATGGGAGTACTATAGTAATACAAATTTCCATTCTGGCCTTAAGCATACCATACTGTCTCTCAGGAGCTCAATGCTACAGATCTTAGAATAGATCAACAGATCAATAATTCTGATTCAAAAGCAATATAATCTCTGTAGTAGCTGGAAAAAATATTTTAGGGACAAACCAATTTTCATCTAAAAACGGATCTCTAAAACAAGAAAGAACCAGGGATGTTTACATAAACTGTTTCATAAGATTTTTTTTCCTTCTAAATAACATTTATTGGTAGAGATTCTATCCAGTTCTATTCCTTAACTCTTGGATCTACTTATTGGGAAGCAAAGAAGTCATAAAGTGGGGCAGAAGACCAACAACAAATCCACATTATTTGAAAGAAGGATATTAACCATCCTTCACTCTTTCTATTTATATATATTCAGCCTACTGTGATACCATTTAACCTCAAGGTAAAAATAAACATCACATGATTTAAACTTCAAACACATGAGCAAATTACAGCAGGAAAGAAGAGACAGAAACAGAGGATGTAGAAAGCTGTACAGATTTCCTTTGCTTTTTTACTGTTCACAGTGATGACTGTATCTTCTTTTCTGGATGACAATAATATACATACAGTAACTTGTAATTTGTCATACAATGAACTGAGTGTGTGTATGAAACTAAAGCGTAAGAAGGAAAGACTCAAGGCAGGAGTCTACCCAAGCATCCAGCATACTCACATGTCAACACAGGCATGCATAATAACACATTAAATAACAAGAGAAAAACTATGGCTGATATGTGAAAATATCCAGAAAGAAAGCCATCTGCTAGCAATAATGTTGGAAATGAAAAGAAAATAAAGCCATCTAAGACCATGACGGTTCTTTGGCAGAAAACAAAAATTCTGATGAAAGAGTAGAACACTTGAATTGCAGGTATCTCAGCTCTGATGTGGAGAAGCTCTGAATATATCCAAGAAAAAGTACCTATTTATGGAACTTTTCCAGGGCATACCTCAGCCAGAACAAAGGTTGTTCATAATATGAAAAAAGAAAAAGATTATAAAAACACATTTAGTGAAAGTTAAAAATGTAGATAATATTTAAGTGAGGTTATGTGATCTGGGAGAAAACCAAGAACACATACAGCATCATTTGCATATGAGAATTGGGGAATTAGGAGAGATTCTCAGGTAAACCACATGAAACACAAAACAAAACATACCACCAGATGCGTTGCTAATGGCTGATCCTGCAGATGCCACCTTGGAAACTGCTGCTGGATTGTATGTCCAAGATGTTCCACAAACTTCCACCTTTAAATCACTGTCTGAATAAATCTGTTGTACTCGGCCAACTTTACCTAAAGTCTTAAAAAAATTAGATTCATGTTTCCAAGTCTAAAGTACATGCTATAAAAATCAATCACAAATTTTTACATGTTTAAAGTATTGATTTTACTTCATTCCTAATAAAGAAACTTTGAAGGATAATCATATTCAAATGGGTTATTTATTAGTTACAAACTTCAAACTGTATCTTTAAAAATGTTTTAATAAATAAAAGCACTACACTTTCACAGAATACTAAAACAAGCATGACTATCTTATGCATAAAAGTTCACAAAATCTTACTTTTGGATATTCAACACTTCTTTTTTAACCTCGTAAGATACTTTTTGAGAACCTGGAACTCAAGTAGCCCCAAACCATCAATCTTGCCTAAAAAATATAATCTGACTTCTAAAAAAAACCAATTTAAACCAAAAAGGGCTCAAAGCTTACATCTATGTTTAAATCCTTTGTGGAATCAAGCCTGACTTCAAAACAGAAATAAGCAGAAATAACATGCTTATTAAATATATGAAATAAGAAGGGCAATTAGGCACAGAACACAATTAGCAGCAGCTCTAAACACATGGTGGATACTGTTCTAAGACCTTTATATGTATCGACTCACATAATATGCAAAACCATGAAAGTTGTGTAACATTATTAACCCATTTCAAACTCAGGTCCAAAACCCATTCTCCTATGCACAACAGAATAGCCCAAAACAGGAGAAAACTGGTGAAGAACAGGGATAATATCTGTTCCCTAACACAGAGGAGATTGCTCTTAAACTTGTTTTCTCTTTTGACCTACTCATTTGGGTTTTTTTGTCATATTACACACACAACAATCTCAGAATAACAATATCAACACTATCACATGTAATACATTGCTGAAAATTATTAAATGTTTTTTTCATGCAGTTCTGAATGGCAAAGTCCTAAAAGGATATTTAGACAAATTCCTATGTTTAGAAATCACTTGGAATTTCCTCTCTGTATGGTTATGCCAACAGGAAACACATTTAAGTTCATTTGTTTCATTTTATTCTCTACTTTGAGGAATTTCCTTTTTGAATCCAGTTTTCTAATTGTATAAAAATAAAAGCAATTTCAAATCAGATCTACAAAACAAGACATATTCAGAGATGTCTCCTTTCTACCTCTGTCCCCTTTATCATATTCCACGTCTATATACGAACACTTTTAATACTTTAATTTTTTCAAACGTTTTTTAACTTTTAAATTTTTAAAATTTTTTTAAACTTTTCTTAAATTTTTTTAAACTTTTTTTTAAACTTTTAACACTTTTAACTGTGTACGGGATTCAACCATGATCCCTTCCAATTTTTACCTGGATTTACTCTTTCCTTTGTCCCTATTGTCTCTACCCTCAATGGTGGGCTCTGCCCTGGAAGGGAGATCTGACTGGTTAGTTTTGAGGGTTTATAGCCCCAGGCTACTACTCCAGTCCCTTCAGACATTAGCATGGACCTACTGTTCTCACCCCAAAGTGGAGTCTAGAAGAGCCCTCCCAGGCTCAGCCATTGTCAACACATTAATCTACCACAATAGCCAATGAATACTCATTAGCTGCTTTGGAGTTCCCCTGTTCTCAGGTCCATCTGATGCCATTACTCCTTTCTGTTGCCATACAGACAGACACAGACCCACTAGCTGTCAATGGCTTATCTCTACTCACTCACATTTTAGGGTTCAAAAGACGATTCTGTCACGTGGCTTTCTCATAGATGTTTGCGGCTTATTTGGTTATGCTAATCTACTTGTTGACTGTTTTTATCAAGATGATTTGAGAAGACTCAAATCTACATCACCACTAGAATCCCAGAACTGCCCGTTAGAAATTATCTAGAGGTTTTGCTTATGCAGCAGCTTAATATGGGGAACAGGCTTTGAAGCTACACAGATCTGGGTTTAAATTCCAGTTCACTATCTTAGCTCTGATTTCCTCACCTTTAAAATAAGGATGGCATACTACCATATACCTAGTTATAATATTCCTAAGACAAACAAAGTCTGTACATATCTGTATAATATGTGCATACATATATGTAGCATGTGGTGCACATGTACGTACACATCTTTCAGCACAGTGCTTAGAAGAACTGGGCACTCAACAGACGGAAGATGCTACAAGGTATCAGTGCTAAGAGGGAAAACAAAAACATCTTGACCAGAAAGAAATCTTCAAATAGTATATGTAGCTCCCATAAAACATGTCAAAAAGATGACATTTTAATTAACACCATACCATAATGAGGTCTGAAGTATATCAACACATTTTTTAACCAACTGTAGTATAAAAAAGCAAACAACACAAAAAGGGATTATATAGAACTTAAAACTTTGGGGAGAAAAATAAAGATTCTAAAATATTGTCCTGAAAAACATATACAACTATCACTTACTCAATACCTAACTAAAGCAATAAAAAATAACATCAGCAGCATGTGCAAACTATGAAATGTCTCTGAATGAAAGCACCAGAACAATAGAATGTTTTTTTTCTGTTGTGTTCACTATTATATTCCTGAAGGCTAACCAGCACACTGGTGTGCTAAAACATCTGGTGAAGGACTAAGGCAGGAAGGAAGAATGGACTGATGAAGGGACAGAACGTGATCAAGGACAGGGAAGGGGGACTGGACAGGATGGGAGGGGGGCAGAGGGCAAATGGGGCAGAAGTTGGGGCTGGACAGGAAGAGAAAGAGATGTTTACCAGGCCAGGGAACTGGATAACACACTGGGGGTGGGGGTGGGGTGGGGTTTAGAATATAAAGAGGCAGGAGGGGAGGTACATGGGACAGGAAGGAGGTAGTACCTAATGGGCTGGGACTTGGAGGAACAGGAAAAGACAAGATTTGAGACTGGACTGGACAGGAGCAGGGAGTGGGCAAAGTGAAGGGCTGAAGAGGAGGATGTAGCAAGGTGGAAGGAAAGAGGATACAGGGCAAGGCAGTATGGGGGAGAACACGATGGAACAGGTAGTACAGAAGGAAGGGGACAGGAAGACAGAGCAAGGGAAGGTGGAGAAAGAGAGGGTGCATGAAAAGAGGGCACAACAAACAAATTATTTTGTTGTTGCTGAACATTTGATGACAAATGTTTTAGAGAGGCAGGCCCCCAAGTAAAGAAAGCAGCAGTGGTCCAGCACTGCTGGTACCCGGATGAGCACTTGACTCTCATTCTGGGGTGAAGTATCAGGCAGTCTCTTTGCCTCACACTAATGTTACATTCTACAACAGCTCTATCAAAAAGTGTAAACTGTAGCCCTTTTTGGACCTTTCCAGGCTAACCTAATTGGAATAAGTTAGAAAATAAAAGGCATATGTATGCCAAGTTGCCAATGAAGAGTACAATTCTCAAAGGATCATGCTAATTTAATTTCTAAAATTAAAGTTTTTAAAACTTTTACAAACCACATAAGCATGGAGTAATTCTTAGTCCCAAACTATTTTACACATACTTACTGGGAGCATAGCTTCAGCCCATTCTCCGTGTCCTCTTTGCAGAAGTTTAATTCTCTCCAGATCATAACAAACTTGTACCAGATCACCCACTTGAAACTGCGAGGTGCCTCCTTCTGCACCCTGAGCAGCATCCCCACTTCGGACAATGTTCGCTTTAGTGAGAACAGCGGGATTGAAAGTCCACCTAAAAATCAAAGCCAACATTCAAAATGAGTAAGTTTACTTAATCTTAGCACAACATTCTAAGATAGCTAACCACTGCGGGGAGAAAAGCCATGTTAAACATCAAAACTGTAAAGTAATTCTTTGCAATTACATCCTGATTGATTTGTATTTCTTTTTATAATTTTATTATACAAATTTGGGGGGAAAGTCATCCATAATCTCACCACTCCAATATACTTCTGTCTAGATTTATCCTCGCCTGCATGTTTTAAAAAACTGTCACAAAATTAATAAGCACTCATTGTTAAAAATTAAAGCATTTCAGAAACATGTAAAGGTCCATTTCACACAAACACAACTGAATCACTATTCTCCTCCTGGACTAGACACCACAGTTAATACTCCATTGCATAGCCTTACAGATCTTCTATCATTATGCTGAATAATAGTTATAAGAGAGAACTTTCTTCCCACAAATGGGATATATATATATATATATATATATATATATATATATATATATATATACACACACACACACACACACGTATATACACACACACACAATGCTGTGACTTCTCAGGGAATTCATCCTGGAAGATTTATTTTACAATATGACAGACACAGATCTATTTTAATAGCTACAGAGTATTGCATAACATCGATATACACAAATGCACTTAACCATTCTCATATTGACTAGTATTTAAAGTATTTTCAAGTTATTACTGTTATTATGAACAATACTACAAAGAACATCCCTAAATGTACATATTTGTGCACATGGGTGTCAGTAACCAAAGTATATATTTGTTTACCATTCTGATAGTCAGAGCCAAACTGCTTTACCAACAGTACACTATTTCCCCATACCATTGCCAACCTCATGAATAAAAATATTACCTAGTTTTAATTTGTCATGTATAGGTATTTTACATGACTATTGTAATCAATGTACCAAATTTGGACTCTGATTTCCTCCTTCCTATACACAAGCATTTTTCTATGCTGCTACTATCTTCATAACCATGGTTTTATTGAGGGACTACTTAATAGTCCATCAAGTAGCTGTACTACAGAGAATAACTCATTTCCCCTAGTCCCACATGGCACTCCAAGGAAAAAAGGTTCCCTAGTCAAATAAGCTTTTACAGCGTGGCAGAGTATACTCTCCTCTTTTTATTCTAATGGTCATTAGCATATAAAAGGCTCTGAGAGGTCACACCATACAAAAACCTGCTTACTAAATTCCCATAACCATGTAAGCAAACTTTCCTTTCTAAAACAACCACAAAGAGAAAGAAGTGCCTCTCTGATCAGTTACGAATAAAAATAAGACACTCAAAGTTTTCTTTTCAGTCTTATCAGTCACAGTGCCCCTTACCTCACTCCCAATGTCCCAAAATTTGCTAGACCTACGTAGTACCTTACTCAAGTTGTTCCTTCTGCCTACAGTGCTTCCCTGCCCAGGTGGAAACCTAATCTTTCAAACTTAATACAATTTTCTCTTTTAAGTTTTCTATCATTTGAAATGACCATTCTTCTTTGGACCTTCAGAATAGCCTGAATACTCATCTATCATAATTACTGAAAACATTTCAATATAGCTATTTCTGACTTTGTCTACACAAATTAAAAAGGCCAATCCTTCAAAGGAGAGGACCATGTCTTAATTATCTTTGTAATTCTAACACTAATCATAGGGCCTAATACAGGATAAGTACTTAATAAACTGTTGATGAATAAAAGATTGTTTTCTAGAACTCAAATGTCACATTACTAATAACACCAGAGAAAGAATCTGACCAAGGAAGAATTCTGCAAGTAATAATCCTAATCTGTGTTAATTTAACATTTACAAACAAGATACTATTTAAGACAAAATGTGTTGGTACATGGTAATCTGAACTTAAATTATGTTAAGAATTTTTTCCTTTTTAATTAAGAACTTTATTGAGATATAATTCACATACCATACAATGTAAAGTGTGTAATTCAGTGGTTCTATTATATTCAGTTGTATAACCAACCACCACTATCTAATTTCATTTTCATCACCACAAAAAGATACTCCCATAATGATTAGCAGTCACTCTGAATTCACCCTTCTCTCCCTAACCGTAACAACTAGTAATGTACTTTGTTTCTATGGATTTCCCTATTCTGGACATTTTATAAAATAAAATCAGATAATATGCGACCTTTTGTGCCTGACTTCTTTCACTCAACATAATGTTTTCAAGATTTACCCATGTTGCAGCATATGTCAGCACTTCATCCCTTTTTATGGCCAAATAAAATATTCCACTGTACAGATATAGCACATCTTGTTTATCCATTCATCAGTTGATAGACATTTGAGTTATTTCCACATTTTGGTTATTATGAATAATGCTTCTACAAACATTCATGTATAGATCTTTGTGTGTGCACATGTTTTAATTCTCTTGGGTATAAATCTAGGAGTGGATATGCTGGATCATATGGTAACTCCATATTTAACATTTTGAAGAATTACCAAACTGTTTTCCAAATATCTGATCATGTCACATACTTCCCATCAATGTGTGAGGGTTCGGTTCTGATTTCTCTATACCCTCAGCAACACCTGTAACTACCCTGCCTTTTTATCCTAGCCATTCTAGTATTCTAGTGAAGTGGTATCTCACTGTTGTTTTTTACATTTTTA